CACTCCTAAAGGATAAGGACACTCTGGGACGTATCCAACAGTGAGCTACGAAATCAGTTCGGGGACTCGAATTCAAACCTTATGAAGAGCACCTCCTATCACTGAACCTTTACCTACTAGAGCGCAGGCATCTTAAAGGTGACCTTCTAATGGCTTACAGAATCCCAAATACTTCTGCATATCCCCCTAAACACCTACCTAAGCTTAGTCCAAGGACAAACCCAAAAGAAAACACCCAGAAACCGGAGACAACACAGCATAACACTGTAGGCATACTTTCTACTCCTTAAGAGCAGTCAATTGCTGGAATTCACCGTCGACTGATCATGACCAAGAGACTTTCCAGGAGTCCTTTGAGAAAGAACTTGATATATTCTTAAGGATTGAAGATAGCATCTTACTATGATTTGCCAGTTTTGTCATCCTTTTCTTCTTTAATCGATAAAATTACCTAGGTTTCTACCTGAAAGTATCAGCGATCCACTGCTACTAGACACGGAAGTCTGTTAAGCGCAAGTTTCTTCTATTCCGTTCAAAACTTTTCTAAACGTTTCAGTCATCTTTTTGGACAACTCTTGGTACGTAATTTTCACTACCTCAGTCGGCAGTCAGATTTAGAATCTTTCTGCACTTGAAGAATAAATGATATTTCCCAAGTCCATTGTTTCCGAATTCAGCATCAAATCAATGCATCGAGATTGAGGTATATTATATATTTAGGGGCATACACAGGATTATAGATGACGTTATTTTCACCAGTGTTTCACCTCTGAAAAGCTCTATTAATAAGGCGTAAAATGATTTAGGAATCCTAAATTAGGTCTTTAATTTGGATACCTTAACTTGTTTGGAGTCTGACCTTTGAAGTATTCTTATATTTTTCATGTAAGTTAGTTAACAGTATATTTCCACAAATTTGGAGGAACTAAAAACAGGCATTAAAGACTAAATGAAAAGAACTACGGGTAAACTGGCCAATAATGAATTTCTACGTTACGAAAGCACGGACTGCCTTATGTTTTCCTTTCTAAATTAAAGAAATATATGCAAAAATGACACCAAACTAGATCTCAATGTTGTATGTAAGCTAAAGATTTCGACATCAGCTTATATCCATCGATTTAAATGTATGATTGACATTAGTTGTTTTTCTACAGATTTTTTGATAATAAATGATTTCACCATCTATTCACCTTGATTAAGCTGTGTCCGCTTCCTCAGGACTTTTAAAATCTGTCCTGACAGTATTACTCTCGGTTCTGCCAAAGATTTCGTACTGGGCATATTCATCAGTTAAACTCATTCTGTTGAGAGAATGGTAATAGAATATGATCTTTTGTCTAACAGGGTTAAGGACTAATAATTTAGAAACTTGAGGTACATGGTTAGTGAAAAAGTAAGTTTTCATACAACAATGTGATCTCAGTCAGCAATGGTCACATCGGGCTACTTTTCCTGATAAACTGAATCGTTCCATCACGTTAGTGTTGTAGGAAAGGGTATTCAAGTGGTCTTTAAGGTAAATATACCTGGCAAGACCCACAAATACAATTTGAGCTGCATCATGTCTGATTCTGGGAGACAAGACTTCACGACCATGAGAGAGTCGAGCAAGTAAAGTAAACTCTACCATCCACACTCTTAGATCCTTTAAACCCATAACTTTGAAGATTATCGTAGGATAGTTATTCATTTTTATTGCTATTGAAAAACATGTTTTAAAGGAAGAAATTGCTAATTTAGAGTGCTTCGTTTATGATTCCTCTAATTATGGGAATTTCGAGTTATACCTCTTTATTGCATTATTCTGACCGGTGAATTCGAGAGGAATAAAAGCTTGAATAAGTCATTAAAGCGTCGGGCAGTGCCGCATAGTTTCCTATATCTTATACTAACAATAAATTGATTATAATGTAAAATATTGATATCCAGATCAGTATTATTCACCTAGAATATTTACATTGTCTGACGACGTTCTATTTTTACGTTGTTCCTATAACAATAATTAGTAAATTCAGATTTGTAAAACATGTGAACGTACACAAATATAACCGTTCTACTCATGAGAAAAACTAATATTTACAAAATTCAAAATTGTGATTGAATTCTCATCTTTCTAAAAAATTATGCACTTTAGAATTTGTAAATATTGATAATATTATTACCGATAACGACAATAATATTAATAACATATTTTAGGTTCTTTACTTCATGAACTGTCGTTTGGTAAACTGCAGGTGTGTTTAAATAGGATTTCAGTAACATTTAGGTCATGTCATCGCATGGTTCCGCAAATTGCTCAGTTAACGCTAATTTCCTGTATTTTCAGTTTTTCGTGTCGAATTCATTACTAACATGCAAGCTTTCTGTCATCAGGACGATGTTAATTTAATTTAACGTTGCCTTTAAATGTGCAAGTCCTTTAAGCAGCTGACTGGATGTATGATTGTACAATCAAGTTTATTCAATTGGCGATCTCGTGGTATCGAACGAATACCAAGATCGTGCCAAGAAATGGTACAAGCGAAAGCAGGGGGACGGAGTACGTGCGAACAAAGCCAAAAGCCGCGGAACAATGATGGAAGCACAAAATGGCTGCAATTAGCACAGTCAAACAAGCACTGGAACAGTTGGTTGCAATAATAATTGTTTTCATTAGTCAGTCGTATTCTCGTGATACAAGTAATTCACTACAGTGTCATCATTTGTTTTTTTCATTCAGCTACATTTCATGTCATCCAACTTTAACTTATGTTTCTACTAATCCCCAATTTTCACCAACTCAGTCGATAAACTTGTGTAAACTTTTTAAATGTTAGACAATTATATGTCAACTTATTTTGTGGAATTCCAAAATTTAAGTAATCACTCTCTTCCCGCCGGTATTTCTGTTACATGTGAATCTTATTAATAAATCACGCAAAGATAATAAAAGTATTGCAGAAATTTAAAATATTAATGGGCATAAGGTATGAATGTCCAGTCTACTTCATTTCCTAGCCAATAGGTTATTTTCAAGGTAACGGAAAAAGGAGGATTTTCCTCTCTAATGTACTCGAATCCCATCTATCTTTAGTAATTCAATGATTCAAGTAGTACTTTAATGTGGTTGAAAATAATCTGAACTGCTGTGTACTACTAAGTAGTGTAGTATAACATATCAAAAGGAAAAGTGAAAAATGAAGTTACATAGTATAATAAAGATTCTATAGTCTCTATTGAATGGTTAACAGCTGAATTTTCATAATTTCGTGGCGAAACCAGTGAATTTATCATAAAACAACCTATCAATTCAGCTCAATGACCTTGTTTTACCAAACATCATAGTAAGGATAAACGTCCATCACATAAATAAACAGCAGTATAATCGATTATACCTATCATTGCAGAGTCACTATATTCAGATCAACAAACTTTTTAAATATAATCCTCCATAATTAGTGATAAATATTGTGTTCGGTGATAAAACAGTAATGTAAAAGGTTTGTTTTATATACGAATTTACTTATTCATTGATCAGACGTTCAATGAACTTAGACAAAATCAGAACTTGTACTACTGCTCAAATTTTGGTTGGGTCTTATCGGCCTTCTTGTTTGAAGATTAAATAGACAACGGTCTGTTAGTACTGCATCGGAGGTTACCGGGATTCTGAAGGATGTATAAAAAGCATGCAGATCTTCGTATATATGATCTGTACACCCTGATTTAAGACTATGGGATTAATAATGAAAGTTTAGTAACTTGTTTGACATCAAGGACTTCAGTTTTTCTAATGGAGTTCTAGGAGAGAAGTGAATCTTCTTCAAACCTCCATTTGCTGCTGTGGTGATTGTACTTTCCTCTTGTGTAAATATTTGATTCCGCTTAACAGAATAAACATTCAAGATGTCTACAGTTTCTATGTTGATGTGATCTTCCACGTCATATTGACGAGTGCACCACAAGATGATAGTCTAGAGTAACTTACGAGCCAATGAAAAAAGTAAACACAGACGATGACTTTGGGTTTATGCATTATTCCCTTAAATGGTCAGTTTTGGGTGGGAGAGTAGGAAATAATGGTACCAAAATCATCGATTATATGGTAAGCCAATATTAGATCACGTCGAATAACTGTATAAACTCACCAAATATGCCACAGTGAAATCAGTTAGTAGCTGCATTCTAACGGAAAATGTACATCTGCTTGAAACTAAAACCATGAGCACAACACTTGAAGGAATAATTCAAATGTCCTTCAACTACGCCAAAGTTCATTTCTGAACGTAATCGGTATTTGACACTATGTTTCCAACCATGGACGAAGTTGAAAAGCCATGAATAACTTAAAAGTAGGAATGGAAATCAGTATTCACGAGTTATACGTGAAGGATTCCACATAATCATACAGTTTCAGTAGTTACATTGATTTAGCGTAGCAGACGGACTACTCTTGACTCAAGGAAACAAATCGAGCATGCACCAGAAAATAAAACATCAGTCTTTAGGTGTAAATGAGATACTATAAAGGCATGAGAACACCTCTACAAAGTGAAAAAACCCTAAGAGAATTAGATTAATTAGTTAGTTGAATGGAAGACTCAAGGAACCAAGAACAAAAATTGAAATTTATCTAACAAGTAAATTGTTAAGAAACTATATTATCCCATATAATGCTTTCCTTCAGTCACTGACGATCTAGGTAAACATTTTGGAAAGCGGGTAATATAAATTGACACTGAGTTCATGAAGATGGTTTTTTTCAGAGCACATTACGAATCATGTATTTTTTCAGTACGCCATGTAAAAAGTCATATACAACAGAGTCTAGTCGGATGTAATCATCTTTCAAATGAAGTGCGATATTTCATAGTAAAAGAAATGGATAACATTTTTAACTAAACAAGCCATATAGTGTACTAAATTCATGTGACTTTATACAATGAAATTGTTCCCCACTTAACAGAAAAGTTATTTTTAATCAAAACGAAGTTGAAGCATGACAAGAAATTCAGAAATCAGTTAGTTTCCATCTCATGTTCATTAGACTGACGTAGAAGTTTATGAAATCGGTGATATACTGAAGAACAATCATGTAATTGTGCAATCAACTGCTTGCGTTTTGAAACATTAACATGTTCCTGATCACTCACTTCGCGTTTTTGACGTCTTTCAGCATCTATATCTTGTACATCCTGGTTAAATAACATGGAAAAAACACAATAAAAGGAATGGTGATTATGAAAATATTGTAGGGACTTAGCGTGGAATCACACATCACATATGAAATACTTTTAAATATCTGAATCGAACACTTTGATGAGATACGTCTAGTTTAACAACATTACTAGGAATTATCATTGATCTACTACTAAGAAACAATAAAAAACTCCAAGGCATGTTTATCATATGAATGCTACGCAACATCCAAGACCAAACAGCACATCATTTGGAAACTTGAAAGAATTCAATGATATGGCTAAATATCTGAATCAACATCATTCAAACCAGTTAAAAGGATAAATATCTTCCCTCATTACATACTATACTACTGTCAACTCAATTTATGGTTGCATTATATGACTGTTATAAACTCTATAACGGTACAGACTCTTCAGAAATATTGATCACACAAATGTAGTGTACAGAAATTACGATGTAGTGAACTGTACTTGTGATAGATATCGTGTACATTTTTAAACACTCCAGGAAAATGGTGCTTGATGTTCAAAATGATGATTTTATGCTATACAATATCATAATCCGTCTTTATTATCACTACTTATTACAATTTCATTCTTAAACAGAAAAACATCGAAATAGATTCTCTCATTCGCGTAATTAAATTTAATGAAAACTAAGAAACTTTGATAAGACAATATTAAAAGGTGGGAAAACTAGTTTCGATGACATGTATAACAGTAAACGCATATACGATGAGGGCAGTATTTTTGTGGAGGAAGTTTTAATCAACCTTATTTGGTTTTATAAGAACAGTGAAACTAAAAAACACCATATTCTGCTCTTCAGAAGCACAACACGTATTCCCACAGAGCTGACTTAGATGATATACTGAAAAAACGTCATTAATTGCAACCAAAGTTCAAGTTAACATACCATTAAATAAAGAAATTCTCAGTAACTTACCTTTATTAATTTTGTATTCAAGCTCGGTGTACAGACTGAATGATTTTCTGTTGTTGTATGAGCCGTTATTAGTTTACCTCTAGAATCATTTGTTGTTTTAGGGAGACCTACAAGTTCCAATCGTATATTTAATCCATGAGCAATAGTCTCACTGACATATATTTTTAATAAGACATGATCAAACATATGATACTGTTGACATTCATTAGTTTTGGAGTTGCGGACTTCTAAAACCCCACAATCTGATCGTTCGGATGAATGCACACGTTCAATCTGAAAGTCAGATATCATGAGAAAGAAACTTGAATATCTAAGCAAGAAAGAAATTATTTTGATAATTTTAAAATAAAACATGTAACAACAAATTATATGTCGGTATAGAAGTCTGATAGACTTAGGCATAAAATTACTAGCCCGATTAATAATTGAAGGTGATTGGTTTACACTGGCACTATGACCGCTTTGAATTAGATGAACTGGTATTGAGTAGTTTACCGTCTTTACTGCATTTTTGTTTGACCATGCTTAGTGTTCACAGGCAAAAGTGCAATAATTCTCAGAACTTCAGTAACTAACTTATTTCACATGACCAGTTAAGTTCATTAATATGAAGTGGTGTCTAGTCTAGATATCTAATCTTTCAGTCTTGTTAATACTATTGGACGTGTAGAAAAAAGTCAACTTATAGCATGAATGTGTTCTGGACTGTTCTTCATAATATGTGGATTAATGTTATACTGGTTGAATTGCCTCTGAATTGCACGAGCATACAAAATTACATACAAATATTTTTATCTTGAGTTAAAAAAGACCTTTCTGTATTGGAAACAGAAAATTATTTAATTCTGTCGAAGAATATGCTACATGTACAACGAAGGATAACCGAAAGACAGTTTTGCTTTTATACTAGGAATAATTTAGTACCAGAAGATCATTTGGATATCAATCAATAAGCATATGAGACTCATTTCTACTAAGAAATAAATTTGAAAAGACTTGAATTTACATCACGTGCCTAGAGTTGCTTCAGTTTCCAAAAGAGGTTTAATAACAAAAGGTAAAATGTCAAACAAGAAAAGTTATAAGTAGTTGTGTTCCAAATTTATATAACACTGAAAGTTTGTGTGAGTGAAAATACAATGACATAAGCATTTCATACCACTATGTTTTGGACATCTTGTAACCAATGAATGTTACCAGTATCGGATGTTGTATGATCAACCCATGCTATGTGACCATCCGCGTTTTTTATGCAAACTGCACCTCTGATACCGTATCTGGAAAAGTAAAAACGTAATATATATATATATATATATATATATATATATATATATATATATATACGAATGAAAAATAAATGAATGGTAACTACGAGGAATTATTTATGGACTATTATTAAATTTATTCTCAACGGATAACTATTAAGTAACTAAATTATATGTATATTCATATTCCTTTTGTCATAACCTTTCATTTGACCTATTGACTACTGTTATATGATTTAATATTCTCAAGTTATTCTCAACTTTCAGTGTGTGGTTGTGGAGATTGTCAAGTTTTTGATTGAGATCATATATCGGTGTAAGCTAGACAGCCATTAGAAACCTGGAAGCACTGGACGACCATTTCGTCCTAGTATAGGACTCCTCTGCAATGCGCATCCACGATCCCGTATGCGGGACTCGAATCCAGGACCTTCGTCCTTGCATGCGAACGTTTAACCTCTAGACCACTGAGCCGACATCTAACGGAGTCAATGTCTAACTTCAATCAATCCACGAAATTACACGACCATGTTCCATTGTCTGAAGTAGATACCTGTCTCTACCTGACACGGATTAGCTCCACCAGTTACGGCTTCTCACTAAAACTCCGAGAATTACCTCACGAAGCCAGTCACTAGTGAGCACATGACAATTTATTAGTTACCGTATCTCACAGCCAATTTTGAACTGATCTTGTATATTAATAACTAACAAAATTCAAGCGTCAATTTACTAAGAACAAGAATGCAATAGATCAAACTGAGAATAGGGATATGCATATTAAGTATACAAATACTCACCGGGGAACAAAGGCAATAAATCCATTTGTGCCTCTTAACTGACAAATGATTCCTTCTGCATATCGAGATGGATCATCAACTGGTTTATCTTTAAAGAACAAAGCTTGAAATAATTCTAAACTGGATCGTTGAACTTGCTGAGCAGCCCAATGTTGTTCGTTCATATGATTGCAAATAGAAGCTAATTCTTCAGAAGAGAATAACCCGTCGGTTTTATTTTCTAAAATTGTGACTAATTCAGTATTTTTTGAGTTGAGTTCACTTTGTGTTGTTGTCAGTGACCTATAGTCTCCTAATGAAGCAAGCAGAAGGCGATGAACCTGTATTCAACGAAAATAAGAACCATATAATACTGTAAATAATTTTACTTTGCTTTTATTATAATATCTCTTATGACTCTTTTATTTAACTGATGAATAATGTTTAAGTAAGAACGGAAGTTAATGAACAACACTTATGTAACAATGAACACATTTCAGAATCACCTTCTCAATGATGGAATGAAACCACTGGATTTTCTTATTTTGATAATAACTGCTTTAACAAAAAAAAATAATTTAGTGACCACCAATGTAAGTTTCATATACCAATAGCATTCAGCACTTAAATAAAAGATAGTTATGTAAAGAATTTGGGAGCTATAAAAAGTTGCCACCAGAATCAAGTTCGAATTGTATTAGCTTTTACAAAGATGGATAATTAATCAGCTATAAACAGCCTAGGACTTGACACAAACTGTGATCCAAACCACATAAGCAAACCATGAGAAATTTGATAAGTCATATTAAGGGAGTAGATACAATAGTATAATCAACGATAGGGAAAAAAACCTAAGCAAGGAGAATCTAATTTGAGATTAAATGACTCACAGGTCATGTGAGATGCCGTGAAGTCACATCACCAGAACGCTTGCATCGCTAAGAAATGACCCAGGACCTCATTCAAGTTGTTCAAAACAAAATATCCTTTTACATTATGTGGAACTGCCCTCATACCACTAACAACATTCTGCAAAGTCTTGTTCACAACCGCTTTCTGATGTTTCTTCCAATTTAACTAACAGACCTCCTATTCTATTTTCTCTGTTTCCCACATATGTCATCAGACAGCCATACTGAAAAGTGCAGACTATCTGGTTGTGCAATATTCACACTTTTTTCTCTCGATTCAGTACATATTTTCGAAACATAATCTGCAATTTCATTAATAGTACTATTATATCGAAATCTTTTCTACTGATACTATTGATTTGATCTCGCCGTACTGATAGCATTATAACTCGGATTGACGTACATTTATCCGAAGATGTCTGCTGATTACGACTGACTAACCTGCATGAGTGGTAATTTGATTACGGTTTATTCGGCTTTCAAGTGGACTATGGATAAAAATTATCGTAGTGATTGAGATGCATTTGTGAATATAAAAAAAAAACTGGAATTCGGTTAAATCGAACATTGACTGAATGGTAGCTAGTCAAACATATGGTCATAAACAAAACACAAAAAACCAGAACTATATGAAAACCAATTTTTAGTCATTTATTAGGTCTTACTAAAATATTCCAGAAAATCGAAACTCTACGCTAACAGAGTAGCTGACAAATGGAACTAATAGATCGTATTTGGTGGAAACCATAAAATATCACATCAATATTTTGGAAATAATTCGGATAATCAATTTGCAATAAAATGAATTAGGTAGTGTAAACAATCCAAGAACTTACAATTATATCGGCGTAACGTCGTATAGGCGATGTGAAATGTGTATACAAATTAAGGGCTAAGCCATAATGGGAAAACTGATCTTGTGTCATATTTGATGAACCAGTTGAGAAATATAGTGCATTTGTCATTGCACGTGTAACAAGTTGACGTACCACCTTGTTAACCTATTTATATACACAACAATCAGGAAGAATAGGAATGAATAACTCAAATAAATTAATAAAGGGAAGCAACAGTAGAAAGATATGAACGGCATTCATTTTCTCATGCACAAAAATACTGGAAAAGCTTACATTTATTTGGAAGCCACCTAAGCTAAATGAATATGTGAGATGGTGAAGAAGATTTGTAGCTCAGGTGGATGATTTTGGTGGAGTTTTGTTCTCTGAGCTGGATGGTTTGGTCGTGGAGCTTCATCGTTCTTCTGAACGACATCACCAGCACAAACTTCAGATAGAAGTGAAGTGTTTGAATTTCTCCATATGTGTCTCAAAGCTTGTTCTGTGCACCTCGACGTTGATTGGTTCTTATTGACCTTAAATTTGTCGTTGTTTACTTCTTTGTTTTGGTTGTGTCTCCCATTGTTTTGATTTTTGTTTTTATGTTTGTGCATGATTTTTCTGATTGGTTGATAAACTGGATTGATTTCAGTATGCTTGTTGATTGCTGATTGACCTGAGTGCCAGGCTTCTAAAAATTCTCTGGTGTTTTTGGAGTTTCCTCTGTCTAAGATTTCCACATTTTTCCAGTCGAATGAGTGTCCACAGTTGTCCACGTGTATTGAGATAAGTGAAGAGATATAATGCCGTTTGACTGCTAATTGATGTTCATGTAGGCGAAGGTGAAGGGGGCGTCCACTTTGTCCGATATAGTGTTTTTCGCAGTTGGCACAATTTATCTTGTAGATGATGTTTGATTTGTTTTCCTTTGTTATTTCATCTTTTGGTTTGCATAAGATTGATTGTAGTGATTTTGTCGGTTTGTGTGCCACACCTATTCCGAAGGTTTTCAGCAGTCTCGTCGCGGTTTCTGAGATTCCTTGTATATATGGTAGGGTGAAATTCAAACACTTCACTTCTATCTGAAGTTTGTGCTGATGATGTCGTTCAGAAGAACGATGAAAGCTCCACGACCAAACCATCCAGCTCAGAGAACAAAACTCCACCTAAATGAATATGTACTAAGGTGAGATAATATTTCAGTCAACAAAGTTATGAACAATTCTATCATCTGACCTAACATGTAAAGTAAATGGAATTCAGCTCTTTAAATTTATCGAGAGTAATCTGAGAAAACTACCGAAAAATTTGCAATTTATGTGAATGTGTGTCACGATACTCGACATGAATTAGTAAAATTATATAATCTAAAAAGACGCTAGAGCACATCAATTTAATCATACAGAATTGCGAACCAGTTATAAGTATACAAATGATTTCCATGATGTAACAAAGGGGAAATTTTATAGCATAAATTAATTTATATGTATAATACTTTACTTCACCAGAAGGATATTCACAACAAATAAGTAGCATACGCGATGCAGTCAGCTAAAAATCTAAATAAACACCTTAGATGGAGAAAATTAAAAATATAATATAATATATAATTAATAAAAGCGATAATTCATTATATCAAAAAACTCCTAAATTTTAATCTTACCTCGGGATCATTAGGATCTGATGCATTTTTTAAGGAATTCGCTAGTGAAAGATTGGAATTTGTGTCTAAAACAAAACCTCGACAAGCTATACAGCGTTTAAGTTCATCGAAATATTCCGGACGCGGAGGTGGATGTCGACGTAGACAAGCGCGATCAGGATAATATTCTACACATCGACGTGCAACCCAATGGTTTGCAAATATCATTAGCTCCGCTACTGTATTGTGCATTTCAAGGGGCTATTTCAAAATTAGAATAAATACAGATATTTACAAAAGCGATCCATTAACAAAAAGCGCAAATAGTATCAGAATTTGCAATTAGTTAAAACTAGTATATAAAAATTAGATATTTTTTAATGTTAGAAGAAGAAACTACGAGTTACGAAACCATACATTATCACCGATCCCTGAAACTTACTCCCTTAGATCTCTATTAGCCACAATTTATATTGGCAGAATGTCAGTATCTTAAACTACTGAAATCTCGATCGACGGTAATACCAGGCAAAATATAGCCATAAAGTTCGAACACATATTTCAAAATAATAATTCATAGAAATTAAGACACAGAAGATTTGAGTAATGATGGAAACCACAACAGTAGTAGCCAAATTTATGTCATACATTAGTCCTTATTTTGCAACTTTTAAACAATAACATCCAAGTGATGTCTATAATGCTGCTCAACTTATCAGCAGGTTTGCCGGGAGATGTATGCAGATTCCCGATGTAAATAAGAGTTTCTGAAGGATGAGTCGATAGTTGAAAATACAAAATCAGGACCTAAACGTTTTAACACGAACGTAGTTATCATTCTCTCTTCTCATCACCGTAGAGCCAACATTATTACCGTTACAAATCTATTATCGATTTATTCACTTTGGATCTTTCAGATACAGCTCACAGTTTATTTGTTATCAAAAGGGGATACCAGTATGAGATCAATAATTCCTTTGTCACAATAACAATGAGGAATTTCTAAAACCCAATGCAATTGGTAAAGAGTATCTCAATATAACTAAATTCAAAACATCTCTACTTATAAACAGTCAAAATGGTTGTGGCAGCCTCCAAGCTGTATGTACTTCACATGACAGACTTGATTATTAGCATTTTACTATGGAGCGAAAAAATCTAAAAGACATAAGGTTACTGCAGATTAAATTAATCTAAGTAAAATAACATGATATGAGTAGTCTGCATGTTTACTGTAATTTGCTTATCCCTTTGCAAAAATGGTATTTGACCTAAAGTTCTAATGGATCAGTTTGACTAAGATCAAATAAATGAAATATTAACGTCTCCAAATAACAGGACACGTCAATCAAATGAAATAAAAAAATAGGTATATTATGAAACATCTAAAGTACATATATGTAGAATTATATAATGTTTTAATTTTTTTTAAATACCTCTTTTGGAATCAAATCCTCTAGTTTTCCAGTACGTGTTTCAGGATTGGCAAATTGAACACTAACTTCTACACTTTCAAGTTCTAAACCTCCTTTAGCAAGTCGACGTTCACGAATATTGGAGGCAATATCAACCAATAGTAAAATAGATTTACTAAGCTTGTCCAAAGCAGTTAAACATTCATCCTTTGATAATTATTTAAAACAATAAATCATTACTATGCAATAATGACATAACTCAATAAAACTATTCTTACATTTAATAAATGAAAAGTTTTTTTTAAGTCTAATTTCGTATCACCATTACCATTTGAATAATTCCCAAATACTAATATGAAAACATTGATGAATACTTAAATATAGTAACTAAGTTTAAATAAACTTGAGTAAAAGGGATAGTTTTCAAAACCATATTGCATAGAACCAAACGATGCTTAATTCATTATAAATTAATTCCAACAATACATAAAGAAACTTAATTTGTTGATACTGAAACAAACATTTGGTCCACCAGGGTGCTTGGTACCTGTGTGGTTGCGCCACAGGATTGAGCTGTACTATTCAGATTGTAGCGTTAAAGCCTATACGGTGTCTGGCTCCCCTGCTAAACGGGGTTGAGCTGTACTGTTTGGGTTTTTACGTGAAAGTCCGGATGGTGTCTGGTTCTCCTGAAAACCAATGTAAAATTACCCTGGCCCACAAGGGTATATTACATAACTATGAAACAAATATTGCGAATCATGCAAGTATTTTTAAACATGTAAGTGAAGAATATCATAAAACAGTTTATGTAAGAAATGTATATAATTTTATGTACTTAGGAAAAAAAGAAAAAAGTTAGATAGTAGAACTTTATAAATGTAGTACAAGTTTTCACTTTAAACTTTATTATATTTCTTCATAACTTAAGAAAATATGACTTTATAGCATATGTACCACTTTATAACTGGGTTTCAGAGTTTAAAACATTTGGTAATGAAAAAAATAGTTGTAGGATAACTGACAACTCAGTCTGTGTTCTTGCAAGTTTGAAATCAACACAATAGTACGCATCCACAACACTAAATAGGGTAGAATCAAATCCTTAAACCGTTTATGAAGCGTTTGTCTTCTACCAAATTTTTACAGAAGTTTGATGTTCATAGTACCTTTAAAATGGTGCTCAGGAACATGTTATGTACTTATTACTCAAGTAGTGTATTAACACCATCACATTCATTTATTCCTAGCTTATTTTTTATATTGGTCATGAAGTCACGCACATCTTGCTGGGTCTCAATGACTAGTTTCTATCTTAGTAAACTGAAAATTGAATAGGTTTATTTTCTGGTCAATTTGATCACATTCACCTCCCCTTGGTAAAATATAATCACGACTATCGAATAATATGAATAAATTTGCACTTATTGTTCGGTACCAATAATGTTAAAGATCCGTTACTTATGTGCATAAAAAACTCCAATAATAAATCGTAATATGCTTTATACCTCAAAAGTCGACTCACTCTGACTTTTATTCAACCATCTTCATTTGACTACAAAATCAATGGTGTAATATGTTTATAGACATGATTGTTACTTATAATTTATTCAATTGTCGCACCTTCTACTACTGCTCGTTATGAATTTGATTTTCAACAAAGTATGAAAACAACTAGTGATATCAATGAAGTATAAGTTCATAAAATGAGAAACCTTGACATTACAAAGTGTAAGCCTGTTGTTGTAATCTCTCTTCTTACGGTGTGACCCAGCTATACCTATTGCTTAATATTTTTGGACACCAATCACTCGACAAGTCCCCAAATCAGAACACGGTTGAACAGGAAAGAGACTATATTCCAAATAACAAGGTTAGATGGAAGCAAGATGCAAGTAAGAAGCACAATAGGGAAAATGTTAGTATATTTACAGTTTTTACATGAGAAGATTCTAGAGTAATCCTCAACTATCGACTAGTGCTGATTGGTTAAGGACTAGCTAATTAGCCAATCAGCGTGCACGAAAGCAATCGTGCATTGAGCATGCTTTAATCCAGTCTATGTCCCGCTAACACCTGTGTAAAGTTATGGTTTTGCACTAAATTGATAAGACGTATCAATCAATGAACACAAAAAAACGAATGTAACAGGTATATATTATGAAACACAAAAACTACCCGGTTTAATTCTCTTAATTCAGGTATATCATTTTTAACAGCTTCCAATCCACCTGACTTCTTAACAAGCTCTTCCATTGCAAAGCTATTCGATGAAATATTTTCTGAAGTGACTGAGTCGTATATGCGTTGAGCAAGTTCATAGGTTAACTTATAGCTTGAATGGATTACCGTACGACCATACCATATATTTGAGATATCGAATGAATCTATATCTATTTCCCATAATACGCTAACAGCATAGCTAAAAGTTGTATAAAGAAAAATCTACAAACAACTAGATCGTTCCCGTCCGTAGACGATAAAATAGACCACAAAGTTGCAGTCAAGTACTCACTGATATACATATATAAACTCCAAGGAAATAATAAACAGAACACACATCAAATCTTATACATATGGTGTGAAGAAAACAGGATATAAATCGATAACTGCAATAGGTCATAACAATTAACTACATTATTTTTACAAATATTCATTTCTGTGCTTGCTTTATCGTAATGCCAACCTCGTAAGTTCGCCAGACAGGTGGAATTTTATTTGTTCTTGTTCAAACAAATACGCGAAAAAAATATTTTTAAACACAAATAAGCTTATGTGAAAGGTAGACTGTTTGTATCACATACGATGCAAGTTAATTTATCTTAGACAATATATCTTTCAAATTAATTCTGTGTGGCTATCATAACAACTGATTTGTTTTTGTAAGCTGTAACGAACAGAATTCAGAACGTTGAGACCCCAAGGTTTTACCTAACATTTGAATCAATCAACCAACAACCCTGAGGACCTGTTGAGGTAGCTACAGATACAATCATTATTATTGACTTTCCAACCTCAGTATTATTGTGATATGATTGGGCCAAGTAATGAATACCTATTCATATAAATTACCACATTGGAAAATATTTTACATGCTTTGATGTTTACTTATCTTATTGTTTTTTTCTTGAGATGTAAAAGCTGTCTTGAAAAGTCCTGTCTCCACTCTTCTTACTCCCATTTGGCTTTCATTGTCGAAGTATTGTTGTGTATTAGTACTAGATTTATCTAGTCGCATTAGATAGACTCTCGTGTTAGAAGCATCTCTAATAATGTGTATTTCGGAATAGAACTGACACAGATTACAACGCTAAAAGACAGTTGATCGACACTAGCCACGCATTGCCTTATTTCGAGTAATGGCTTTTGTATCCTTTATGTTGAACCTTGCTGCTGACATTGAAACTACTTCGATGATGAGGGGTGTTGTAATGAGAGTTAAATTTGCGCATCACTATCTCTGCGAAGGCAGAAATCATTTAAAAACTCATTATTTGGAGGAAATTTTGCTTCCACAACGATCCAATATGATCGGAAGTACGACCTCGGAGTAGATACTTTCGATATTATCTACGTTTAACTGAATGTTGATCATAGTAAGGTGTGAAGGAACATTAGGCTGGAGATTTCCTGCAACAAAATGTCCCATCACAGTTTTCGTCGCAAAACTGCAAGTCGCCAGTAGCGACGTTGTATAGGCAATACTGAGGTTTAGTAACCCTTGTCTTTGTACAGTGAAGATGATAAATTGATGACATCATCTTAAAATACAGGATTTTTTGGCATTAACAGGTTTTATGCACTTTTTCACTTAAACTGTACCCCTCAGTGCTTGGTGTTTTTTCTTCGTTTTCTACTTCTTCAGAATACGGTTACTTGATTTTGCATGAGGAATTTATAGCGCACTGTTGTACCGAGCAATTTTATCTAACAAATGAATGAAGTAACTCACAACTCAAGCAGTGGTTAAAAAACTACCAAGTTTCTTATGAGTGTTTCATTATTTAACGTTGTTAAAGATACCTAAATCCTCGAAAGTTTCTTTCAATCAACATTTTGTTATTTTGGTGCAATAATTTTTGTTTTGATAAATTTAATTCTCCAAGCCGTGCCATCTACTTTTACCTCAGTTGAGGATATCTTTTTCTCATTACTTATTTATTCAAATAATCTTCACCCTACTATCAAGAAAACTGTAAACATATATATAAGCACTTGAAGCTCGCCAAAAGCACTCTTCGTTGATTTCTTCACTAAATATTCTGTGTCAGATCTGTCTTTCGGTTTGGTAGAGGCTAGAAAGAGGATATACTTGTATTTAATTAATCGAGAATCAATACAAACAGTCACAATTGATTGATCACTGGGTGGTGATCAATGTCATGCTTGTCTAGTCCTTATTAGTGCAGATCGAATGCTATCGATCATGTCGCAATGTGGCCACCAGTCTAGGTGACTCGACACTGTGGGCACTATGTATTGAGATTTAGATGGTAGTTGGAAGTAGTCAACAGGAAACCCTGGACCCGGGTTTCGTGCTACTTGGCACTCGTCAGCAAGGTGTACCTGTAACCTTAAGGGAACTGGTGCTCCCTGGCGGATTCGATCTCGTGTCACCCAGCTTCACAGTCGGAGACGTTACCACTGAGCTATCCGAGCCGTGACTAACCTCCTGTAGGACTGAGATGTACCCAGTAGCACGAAACCCGGGTCCAGGGTTTCCTGTTGACTACCTTCAACTACCATCTAAATCTCAATACAAACAGTACCTCACCATATACTTAAGTTGTATCGGAAATATAATAAATAGTTAGATAACATTAATACTTGAATTTCTTTGTGTCAACAAAAATATAATAACGGTTGCGGCGAAAACAATGACAGGATGCTTACCGATCACGACCGCTCCATAGAGAACATAAGTCTCCGCTTAACAAACCTGGTAACATGTCATACCGACGATCAGCTAAATAAATACTGGTTGAACGTCTTCGAGCTTCACTATCAATATAACTACCAGATGGAACAAAATAACTAACATCAGCTATGTGTACTCCCAGTTGCAAACGTTTATGTTCTTTTCCATATTCATCGACGATAGGTGGTAACCATTGAACGGACAAAGCATCATCTACATCTTGACATCCAGGAGGATCAATACTGAAGATAAGTATATCTTCGGACTCTGGATTTCCTGAAATAGTGGGCGATCGAAGATCTCGACGTTTCTTTACTTCTTCGGGATCAACTTTCCAAGGGCGTTGGATACTTAGTGGTGCTAATTCATTCAGCTATTACAAAATTTCAGGATGAGTATGTATATAAATATAATAAATAAATAGAAAAACATTAGTTGAGTGAGAAATTTGATTAAACGTTCGAGAAAGTGATGGAATTATCACATTAACAACAGAAAAGTGCGCGAAAACCACGTCTGTGTTTGTGCATTGCACAAATGGAATCGAAAAAGAGCTGTGACCGCATACGAAAAACGCATAAAGGTTTACAATAATATTGGTAACAATTATGATGAGTTTATAAAGTTTAAACTGACTATCATGAAGCCAATTGAATGATACAGAAGATGACAGATATTTCAACTTTTTCACGAAATGCTAGGTGCCTTTATTAACAATGACGAGTTATTACTGATTTATTAATATTAAACCAATAATTACTATAACAGAAGAAAAAACAATTCAACAAGTATGAATTTTTCATTTATACCCCAGACGAATCATAATGACATACAGTTTTGAGGATAAATGGAACGATAAAGCGATATATAAGTCCCTTTATTTATTGATGAGAATATGAAATAGTCAGTGAAACGGATTCTGATGAATACTGTGCAACTGTCTAGAGAATCCTGAGACAAATAACACAATATGATATCGAACGGTATTGTGAGGTACAACTTCCAACAATTATTAGTCATCAGTCAGTAATATCTGATGAACACACTGTATGTCGACAGTAAGACACTTGTTATTACAAAGACAATAACTATTCAAGTTATCAGTATTTTCTATGCCATTTATAGTCAGTTAGATATCTTTTGAAATATACATTCCATTTTCATGATGTTATTGAGAAACAATACATGATGAACTTTTATGTATTTATTCAATTTACGATTATCATTAGAAGAGTGGATACAGTAATATTTTAATGATTATTCAATCAATAAAAGAACACCTACTGACTGTAAACAAAAAGGATGAGTAGTGACAGTGATATATAACGCTATTCAAAATCAAGTATTCAGTATACCTGTGCATCAGTAAAATTTCGAATAATTAAATTATGTTCAATTAGTATGGTTTGTGTTTCCGTTTCCAAATCGCCAATGCAACCTAGAGTTTGAACAAAATGACCACTTGGATAAGCTGAATACGAGTCCCACGTATCGATTCGTACAATAAAACTACAATCATAGGAAAACATCTTAAGTTAGATGATTGTTAGGCAGAAAACAAAAACAAAATTAAAAGAAAAGCAGTGTTCACATAATTTTACAATAAAAAGGGATTACAAAGAACAATACAATTAAAATGACCATTATTATCATTAAACCTGCAGCGTCTATATGCATAAACAAAATAACTCAACCATAGGCCATCAAAGACAATCCACCTTAAAAAACCAATTATAAGATGTATCGATAGATGTCTTTCACATTAATGTCAGAAAATTTTACGTAATAAATGTAAGAAAATTAAACTTACAAGTTATTTGACTACTAGAAGCATATATACAGCTTCGAATAAAGACAATAGTGTACCAATCTGAACTAACAGTGGGAAGAAAATCGATAAAAATGACTAATTTGGTCATAATCTTATCCGTTATAAACAGTTTACAAAAAACAACCTAGGCCTAACACTCAAAACATTGGAAGGAAGGAAACAAAGATAATTTTTCCAAATATTAAAAGTACGGCAAGAACATGTGCATAGACTCAGTCAGTCAGTCAGTCAGCTACAACGTAGGACCAGGCACATATGTGCATCGGTCCAGGTTGCCATACCTCATTAGCACAACAAGATGAACACCGGATTCATAGCAGTGGTTAGGTCAAAGGTTGCAATAAGGATATAGTATAGGAAGGAAGAATTAGTTCGTGGAAAGAAAGATATGAAGTGATTTAATCTCTTAGTTTAAGGGAAGACAGGGAGTGTATACACCGACGCCATTGTGATCGATTCTGAGCCATGTCACCAAGAGTCTCCAACCATTGGTTACGATAGTCACGCGGACCCCAACCAAGTAGTCTGCATCTACCAACATGGCTCAGACTAGAAGTTAGTGACTTCAAGCACTGATGCCACGTTTTGGTTTGGCCGCCCCTAACTTTCTTCCAACCAACCCCTACACCGGTTAGTATTGCACGTCGTGGTAATCGGTGTTCAGGCATACGTAATACGTGGCCCAACCATCTCAGTCGATGAAGATTCATAACCTCATCAACTGATTTACCATCATTCCCTAATACCCTGCGTCTAACCTCACTATTACTTACCCGGTGATCCCAGCAGATGCCAGCAATATTTCTAAGGCATCTGTGGTCAAATACTTGTAGCTTACGGGTGTCTTCTACTCTTAAAGGCCATGTTTCGCTGCCGTAAAGTAAGACAGAACGGACTGCCGCGCAGTAAACTCGTCCTTTAATTGATAGACGGATATCTCGCCTCCGCCAAAGGTGACGTAAGTTGGCAAAAGCCAAACGAGCTTTTCGAATCCGTGCTGAGATTTCGTCAGACACCAACCCATTAGGGCTGATCAGACTTCCAAGATAAGTGAAGTTGTCGACGCGTTCGACTACTTCACTCCCTATCCTTAGTTCAGGTGTTGACGCAGACCAGTCCTGAAGCAACAACTTGCATTTAGAGGGAGAGAAGCGCATCCCAAACATTCTGGCATTGTTGCTTAGTGCTACCAGAAGACTCTGCATTTTGTCAGCGTCTTCACCAAACAGGACTATATCATCTGCGTATTCTAAGTCGATAAGTGGACCTCCTGGAAGGAGATCAATACCCGAGAATTCAGTCGACGAGAGTGTTATTTCCATCAATAGGTCTATGATGAAGTTAAACAGAAATGGAGAAAGTGGACAGCCTTGACGGACACCACTTGAAGTTGCAAAAGTAGATGACAGTTCGCCATAAGCTCTGACTCGACTAGTAGTGTTCGAGTAAAGAGCCTTCACAAGGTTTATGTACTTCTGAGGTACGCCTTTCAATGACAGACACTGCCACAGAGTCTCGCGGTCTACCGAGTCAAACGCTGCTTTTAAGTCAAGAAAGACCACCATCGTCGGACGCCGATAGGTATGCCTGTGTTCTAGAACCTGACGAATGGTGAATATGTGGTCGATGCAGCCACGACCAGGTCTAAAGCCAGCTTGGTTCTCTCGAGTTTGTAGTTCACGAGTCTTAGTTAGGCGTCTGATAATTATCGAGGCCAGTATTTTAGATACTATGTTTGTTAAACTAATCCCTCTGTGGTTGTCACAGGATGATTTTGACCCTTTCTTATATATTGGGACGATGAGTGATTGCGACCAGTCAGATGGGATAAAGTCTAATTCCCAGATCTTAGCTAAAATATTAGTCAACCTAATCGCTAAAATTGGACCACCATCCTTAAAGACCTCTGGAGCCAATCCATCTGGACCAGCTGCCCTTCCTCGTTTCAGATTAACTATAGCCTTTTGAACTTCAGCAAGAGTTGGGGGACCTACTTCAATGTTCCATTCACATTGTCTGGGAATGGAGGGTAGTTGTAGAGTAGCTGAAGGCCAGCTGAACTGTTCTCTAAAATGTTCCGCCCATCGTTCTAAACGTCTGGACTGGGAGCAGATGAGAGTATCATCATTTTCCGAAATAATCTCACTTACACTTGACTTATTAATTCCAGTTTCTTTTATTAGTCTGTAAAGCTGTCTTGTGTTCCCTATAGTCGCCGCCTTTTCCATCTCTTTTGCTTTCGTTACCCACCACTGCTCACGGTCGTTTCTTAGACTTTTTCTTAACCCAGATCTGATTTGTTTTCGCTCTTCATCATGTTCAGAACCTGATGGGACGAGTTTGCGAGAATCCATCAGTGTGACAGACCTTGAAGAAATCCACTGGTTCCTTGCAACTCTGTGGTTTAAGTCACTAATAGATGTCACTGCTGTTTCCACAGCTGATTGTATGCTCTTCCAAGCAACATCTGGGTCAGCCTCGTCTTCACAACTACCTAAGTGTGACCTCAGTTGTTCCTGGAACCTACTTTTGGTTTTCTCGTTACTCAACTCAGTTCTAACGGGTCTTTTTAATGTGGCTTTTTTGCGTCCAGTGAGGCGCAAGCAGATGCGTGCCCGTATTAGGGCATGGTCGGAGTCCAAGCAGGTACTCCAGAATGAGCGACAATCTTGTACCGACCCTCTCCAACGATGACTGATGGCAATATCGTCTATTTGAGTCCATCGTTGGTTTGGTGTAGGGGGTCGCCATGTTAGACGATGTCTCTCCTTATGCTTAAAATTCGTATTTGCTAAAAATAAACGATTGTCTGAGCATAGCTGCAGCAGACGATCACCGTTATCTGTTCGCTGTGTCGGAATACTAAAATATCCACCTAAATGCCTTTCTGTTTGGTTTAAGCTACCTATCTGAGCATTAAAATCACCCGCTACGAGTACTATGTCTGAGCGTTTAGCTTTCTGAAGAAGTTCAGAAAGCTTTCTGTAAAATTCATCTTTCACTTCATCTGAGCTGCAGTCAGTGGGAGCGTAGACAGAAACGACAAAAAGGTAACGACGTGTGTCCCTATCCTTCCGAGTTCTTACGTAGCCGTTCAGCCGAACAGCACATAGACGACTGTTGACGGGGATCCACTCTAGCAGTGCTTGTTCCGCCCTCATGCTTAGTGCTATGCCTACACCTGCCAGTCCACGAGAACTGGCCATCGGGTCACCAGATACACGGAGGGTGTATCTCGTTGGCTCTCCGTTCTGCCGAGGTGAGGTCAAGTGAATGACCACACTGGGATCCTGTATGCGTGTTTCAGAGACACAGCATACATCAATGGAAAGAGACTCTAGGGTTTTAGCCAAGGAAGCCTGCTGACCGATTTGACATAGAGTGCGTACGTTGAAAGCTCCAATGTGTAGTTTGGAGCGAGGTTTCAGTAGACCTGGGACAGAGTTTTGAGCACTAGAATCGTTGGCTATGGTGACACTTGAGGAGGAAGCCGAAGGAGGAAGTTTAGGGTTGAAAGTCGATGTGGGAGGAATAATAGGAATTGAAGAGGAAGGTTGATTATGAATACAGTGGTCTTGGGTGCTGTTAGAGGTATGAGGGCGGCTATCACTTCCCGGTTGCCCACACCGTGGAAGGGTTCTTCTGGAGGTACCTGAAAAGGAAATCGGATTAGAGGTGGTCTCAGTGACCTGAGAGCGTGACCGCAGTGCCCAAGGGACAGCTGCTTGAGGCCGGTCACGCACGGCCTTTTCGTGGAAGGTTTTCGACGTGTTAGCTCCGTTCTTCAAAGGGCCTTACCGCCGGAGACGGAAATCCGTGAGGTAAGGTGAGGTGTGCATTTTTAGGGTCGACCTTTTCTAACCCCACCCCTCCTTGTGGGAAGGCAGCATCGCTGTCATGCTGGTTGTCTGAAGGAAACACCTTACTGCTGTCACACCTCTGTACAGTCAGCAGTACGACTTCGCCTTCGGACCTTGGGTTTGTTGCTTTTAGTCTTACCGCTCTTCAACCGACCTGTCTGACATGGTAGGACCTTGAGGAACGGTTGTTCCAGTCAGTATAGCTCGGTTGCTTCATCACGATAGGCAAGCCCGACCACCACGTCAAGGTAGCAACAACGGTCGGGAGCCGTGCGCCGGCCGGGAGAGACTCACCCAACACATGAAATTTATACATATTATAATTACGAAAAAACATACTTTCTGAATATTTACTAGTCAATCATGAATAACAAAACCAATAAAGTATAGTAAAATTACACGCTAGTAAGAATTTTGTGTGCATTACTTACCGTTCACGAGTTAGCTTGGAAATTTGTGTAGTATGCAGTCGAATGAGGGGAATACGACGATCCCATGGAGTAACTATTATCCATCCACTTTCACTTTTTGGATCTAATGCACTTTCAGTAGATTTAGGAACATATGTACAGACATAATCACGCCAATTACGACTGACAACACCAACAACAAAGCCACAAGGCAGACTTCTTGATAATGTTTCTGAATCAAGACAATCCTGATTGGGTTTGCTTCCGGATATACTTGATGAATCACTTACAAATTCAGCTGCACCTAGTAAAGAAATCAGTAACATTCATGGGACATGCGAAAAGTGGTAAACAAAGTTTAAAAGAGTTAAACTTCCATTTTAAATTGAAGTGAACTAATAAGAACAATGAAAAGTCCAAGTTTTGTTAGAGGAACCTGTACAGAAGCGACCGATGATTGGTGATATATGGTAACATGGTGTAAAATCGGTCACAGTGGTGCAAGTGCGTTCATTTTCCGGCGTCTTCTTCAATTTCAAATATCCCATTTGGACTGCACTTTTGGTGTTTAGACTTACCTTGTAGTTGGGATTAAACCCTTTCCTGGACTTCAGATCTTTTTAATCACTCTTCTCGCTGTATTAGCATGAGAAGCAGCAACTTGAACAGATAAATGATTGTACCACGTCTTACATTGATCATAACTAACTGGCTTTATGTTTGTTCATTCACACTTAAATTTGGTTACATTCTCCGACTTCGCTCTCTCCTGATTCAACTCGTTTTCAGTGTATTGCTTTATACTACTTAATATTTACTAAACAGTCCTATTTCTAATAATTTCTAAGCATATGGTGTAATATTTTAAAGTGCTGACATAAACAAAAATCACTTGTTATATTTATTATAACAGTTGCTTTCTCTAAACTCTTAGAACAGATATTATAACTTTACTACATTCCTGAAATCTTTTAAAGAGATCGTAAACAAAGATTAGTGTAGGATAATATGAATTCATCTTATTTCGTTAGGTTCTCATCAAGTGCTTACAACCCATAATATTTTAAAATCAAAGCTATTACAGATATTGAAATATTTAAAAATACGAAAGGTGATTAGAGATGAGTATGTACATCATGATGTACCAAAGATTCCAGTATAGTTAGTAAGGTCATAAAAACTTTTTGTTTCATATAAATATATGAAGTGTGTAATGGAAAGTACCAGAACATCGAAATAGTGATTAGAAATCACAGAGGTAACAAACATTAGATGATTGTGTAATGAAGTAACTGAAAGCAGATTAATGATAATAAAGATACGAGTTGAAGTCAGCCAATTATGAATTACAGAATATGACAATGATTCAACTAAAACTTCAGGAGTTCAAATCATAAATGATGCAGCAGAAAGGATGTAATGTTGCCAGAGCAAGTAAAGATTTATCACTCTTTCGTTTTGGAAACAGATCTGGTTTCGAACGTTTAACCACTTTTGCTTCAGGAAATTTCAGAAGATTGGAGTCCGATTGTTTATTAATCATTTCGTAAAACTTCAGTGTATCCACGTGATGTCCTGTATCAATGAGATGCCATGAAACTGGATCGTTAAATGCTTTTATTCCACTTGACCTTAGGCTTTTGGAATATGTTCTTTGAATCTGACGTAGGCTCTCCTTTCTGTCCTACCAATTCAACTGATTTGGCATATACATGTGGATTTGTAGACACAGTTGGTAGTAACATGAAAGGGATACATATCGATCTTTGTGTTAAAGAACATGTTCTTTTGGACAAGACAATCAATTTAGCTGCGAGATAAGTTCATGTCACTGCAATTTTTTAGTCTCATGTTGGTTAACTCTGTCACATCAACACCTTTGAATTTAAGTTGAATAATAATATTTTTTTTGTTTAGTGTGGTTTTTTGGGTTCTGTGTCTCCAGGCTTAACATATTTCTCAATAAATTCCTATGGGTATTGTTATGACCTTGATGTCTGGCTTCTTCTATCACGCGACTTATCGACCAGTCAGAATACGACTTATACAATTTCGCACTATGCCAAACCAATGACGTTCAACCGGTATGAGCAGTTTAGCGTCCTTATTTGTCCTATGTCCTCCTAGCCCTTCCACTTGAGTCCAGAACACAATACCAGCTTCTGTAATATGAATCGAATCGTTTATTTCAGACATACTAGGTTTATATACTAATCAAACAAACCACATCGTACCATAAAATAGAAAACAACATTTGTACAATATTTGGACAAGTGAAATAAATATTGGCCAATAGGAAATGCCCATTTAAGGTCCAAGGACACCATTAGACTTAACATGATAATTATTGAATAATTGTACAATAAGAATATTTATAGAATATTAGTTTACTAACAGTCCTCGGAAGTTACCTGTAACTTAATCTTCACTGGGTTATAACAGGTATCTGTTGTTCTTTAAACACCCTTTCAACATTCATTACTTCCTCCTATATTTTATCAATAGTACATATTCCTTCTGTTCCGTGAGTGTTTTAACCAGTGTTTTTTTGTAACTGAGTGGACAACAGCATTTGAAATGGAGATAAATCCCATTTCACGTGTCTTTTCTATAAACTGAACATAGGACCGTGTCATCCTTCATTTTATTGCAATGTTGAGAAAATGGGACTTGTTTTCATTTTGATTTATTTTTTCTACCATTAATACCAGTAATAATAATAATGCTAATACTTATACTACCACTACTACTACTGCTTCCACTACCATTACTATTAAACTAGTAATTGTAACATCAATCTTTAGAACAACATATACAAGCGAACAATATTGTTTTCGATTGGATCCTCATCAAGCTTTACTCTAATATACAGTAATATTTATATGCATATACGAAATTATTTAACCAATCAAGGTAGTTTATGAGTCAATGATAACAATGAGAACGATTACATAATAATTTCAATGGTTAAGATCATGATTCAATTGAAGCTAGACCACCATGGAAAACCTGGAAGCACTGGACGACCGTTTCGTTCTATTGCGGGACTCCTCAGCAATGCGCATCCACGATCTCGTCCCCTGTGAGATTCGAACCCAGGGCCTACCGGTTTCGCGCGCGAGCACTTAACCACTAGACCACTAAGCCGGCACTGTTGAGGAGTCCCGCAATAGGACGGAACGGCCGTCCAGTGCTTCCAGGTTTTCCATGCTGGTCTAGCTTCAAATGACTCACGATCTTAACCATTGAAATTACTATAATATCCACAAAACCTATCTGACATTGATTACATCATAAGTGAAAAGCACAAATTGATGGTGTGATAACAGGTGCACTAGTTTTGATAAGAATATTAAAGGCTCGAATCAATGTTACATAATCGTAAATATGTCAATAATTATAAAAATATAGACAGTGAGATAACATTTATAAAACTATAAGATGACGTAATAAGAAATGTTCAGATAATTGGACCGTGAGACGTATATTTGAGAGAAAACAAAATAAAATAGTAGGAGGGGGTGAAGAAAAATGATAAACGAAGAGAAATTCACTTGGTATTGTTTTGTTTGTATCTTCTCTGCTTAAGCATCTGGGCTACCTGTTCCTGCCATCTAGATATTTCAACAAGTTATCTATTTTTGTTTGTTTTAATATATCATTATGTTTATTAATCGCATAACCTATTCTGCTGCGTTTCTGAAAAGTGTGCAACCTTTCGTTGTCAAAGTTACAAAAAACTCAAAAAGAGGCAATGTGGTTGCTGACAATACACAACGAAAAGAATGCACATTACTCAGATGTTCATTTACTGAACCTCTAACTGTTGCCCCCAAATGCCCTGGTATGGCCGAGAGTGGGGAGAGTCCGCTCTCCCTCTCGAAATGCTCTCACATGGCCACGCATATATAGCCTCTGACAGGGAAGTCCTACTCACTGCCTTCTCGTGGCGGGGGTGTTGTTTACGAAAATGAGAGGACGAAAAGTGAATGTCCGGCCTTTTAACCGGATCCCAAACCAAATCAATGGTGCACATGGTCTCCAGTATCCTGAGGGAACAAATGGCGAATGAACCAATTGTTGGTCACCGGCTTCCATGGGACTGCATCTCCTCACGATGCTCCACTGCCTAGTGAGTTGGACCTTTAGGTCAAAGGCTCCGGGTGTGGCCCACTAAGACATCTACCTACTTCGGTCTGGGCACCCGGACAGTATCATAGCCCACACACATATCGAATGATATTTGTGTGGCGCATATGTATTTGGTGCCTCCTTGTACCAATATCTGTGTTAAAATAAAAAATAAAATAAAATAAACATCTAACTGGCGATCACTCAATATTTATCGCCAGGACCGACCAAGAAGAAACGGAAACTTGTTGAAATACTTTGCGCTGAGAATTCTATATTGTACCAAAAATATGATATTGAATAATAATAATAATAATGGAGATTTAAGACTGCAACTGATCAGTCTGTTATTGGTATGTGTGCATACTGTGCGTATGCCTCGATATTGCCTTAATTCACAAGCTCTTATAAGCAAAGATAGATAGTGACTAGCAGTGGAATCCATGACGTGCGTCTTGTCCTACTTGGGACTCGTCAGCTGGATGTACCTGCATTTTAGAGTTGGTGTTCACTCTGAGACTCGAACCCAGTACCATTCGCTTCAAACGACATCGCGTTATCCACTCAGCTACTGAGTCCTGATAGCCAATTGCTTGGGCAATGTGGTGAATTTAAATTCACTTGGTATTGTTTTGCTTGTATCTTCTAATTGAGGTTTAGGACTGCAATTGATCAGTCTGTTATTAGCATATAAATAAATTCATTTATTAAAGCCAAGGGAGAGATCAAGGTGTTACAAATTTCTTCTGAATACAAAGACTTGGCTTGTCGGCTCGAATTCCTATAGCTTCTGCTATGTGTAAGAGACGAGATCGAACACCATAAGGAAAACTAGTGGGAATACGATAAATAACTTGTTTCTGTCCACTATATGACCGCTATCGAACAGGTGTGATAGAACCAAGCTGCGTATTGTCTTGACGTTACCTTTTCCTAACCACGAAGTGAGGTGTTCACTAACTCTTTGGTTCAGTTGCCTGGTAGTGCGCCCAATATAGCTTCCTCCGTAGGAGCAACTGAATTCGTAGATACACATAGAAGTGGCATAACCAGGTTACTTATCCTTCAGTTGGGGAATCACCATAGATCGGGTCGAATACGATAGGCAGAGGTTGGCAGCATTCAACGTTCTCTTTACTGCTCTAGTCAGTCTATCACGTGTTACATCACTAGCTACATCTCCATTGAATCGCAGCTTCAAGAAAAGAGGTTTCATCATTGCCAATCAGAACATTAGAAAAGAACAACTACTAGAAATATTTAATAACAAACATCCTGCAATTAAATTCACATGAGAAGGGGAAATAGACAATAAACAACATTTCCTTCACGTATTGTTAAATAGAAAAAAATGGTTCTATCAGCAGAGGTGTGTTCTTCTTCAAGCCGATAAACACGATTTTCAAGTTTTGTGCCTCTTCATTATAAGAGAAACTTAGTCAAATGTCTGGCAAATAGAGCTATTAAGATATGCTCAGTTGACACAATAGAGAGGGAATTAGAGCTCATTCATAATATGCTGATTGAAATGGGATATCCACAGGGTTTCCTGAAGAAACACATGCGAGTAATAAGCAATAAAATAGCGACACTAACGGCTAGTAAGAAACCTCTTTTTTTGAAACTATTATCACACTATCAATTTGTATTTTTCACTTATTATGTAATCGTTCTCATTGTTATCATTGACTCATAAACTACCTTGATTGGTTAAATAATTTCGTATATGCATATAAATATTATTTATTTATTTGAACACATAAATATTGGTACAAGAGGGCACCGAATATATATTTAAATATTACTGTATATTAGAAAAAAACGTGATGAGGATCTAATCGAAAACAATACTGTCCGCTTATATATGTTGTTCTAATTTAACAATATGGTAACATTTCAAACTTTCGCCCCAAATGCCCTGGTACGGCCGAGAGTGGGGAGAGTCCGCTCTCCCTCTCGGAATGCTCTTACATAGCCACGCATATATAACCTCTCCCAGGGAAGTCCTACTCACTACCATCTCATGGCGGGGGTGTTATTTACGAAATTGAGAGGACGAAAAGCGAATGTTCAGTGCTTTAACCGGGTTGGTGGACATGGAGTCCACCTAGGGGAGTTGGAAAACCCTGATTCCAAACCAAAGGTGCACATAGGCTCCAGTATCCTGAGGGAACAAATGGCGAATGAACCAATCGTTGGTCGCCGGCTACCATGGGACTGCATCTCCTCACGATGCTCCACTGCTTTGTGGATCAGACCTTCAGGTCGAAGGCTTCGGGTGTGGCCCCCTAAGAAAACCACCTGCTTCGGTTCGGGCACCCGGGCAGTATCACAGTCCTCACACATATCAAATGACATTTGTGTGGCGCATATGTATTTGGTGCCTCCTTGTACCAATATCTATATGTTAAAATAAACAATAAAATAATTTCAAATTTGACATCAATCTTTGTTCCTAATATTTTATCATTATCACTAGAAACGGCCTCGACTGATCCAGTATTTTCTGCCTATGTATTTGGACATAACTGTACATCAAACATGCGGATCGACCTGTTTAGTCTTCCGATATACAGTACTTAATGATACCATGTAGCAAATTAATATTTATCCTTAGTTGTGAAACTAAACTGCGACGTCTCCGGAAAAATAAATTCATAACTGGAACTCATAAGAAAAGCTAGAAAATGTTATTAATATCAGCATCACTTTCACCAGTAAAAAGTCATTTTACCTAAACATTAGTGAGCCAACATATCAATGCAAAATGCAGATTAACTCACAGTTTTCTTGAGCACTAATATCAGATGAAACAGTTTTCCAATGAACACGGGGTAAAAGACGTACTACGACTACATCTCCATCAACAGCACGATTACGATGTTGTAGCCCGTGAATCATAATCTCACTCCGTGCAGCCAATGCTTCCTTAAGTTCTGGTTGGTGCTTTACTGCACTAGCACTAAAAATGATTGACAAAACTTGAATATCTTGAAATGACTCAAGAATAAATATAAAAGTAGAAAATGAATTTGGGTATGTATATTTATAGGTTTACGGATTCTAGGACGTAGCTTAAATCGGTCAACATATTTGACCACTAAAAACAATAACAGATTGTTTCGGGTTTATTAAAGCATGATTAAATTGTTTTGAGCTTACTCTGTTAAGGCTACCGTGGCCTCAGTAGTCGGTCGAAAACGTGACACGTGAAGAATGCCCTTCAAAAATTGTCCAGACCGTAAACCGGCAGCTAAAGCCGATTCAGGTAAATATTCCGGATATACGTGACCAATAGAAGGCGCTAGAAAGAAAAAATACTTAAACTGAGAAAAGGTAATTCTAAATATGATGCTCGCTCTCTGAATGAACAATAGAATTGCCGGGAAATACCTATAACACACGATTTTACTCGAAGAGGTGAACGGCTAAAGTTTGTACTTGAACAACCATATAATTTGCTCCCAAGCATAAACAGAAAACTATCTCTCCTAGATCTTAGCTGAATAATTTGACCTTGCTTATCCTAACTAATCATGTTTTCGTTTTTGATAATAATAATAATATGAAAGCTAAGCCCGAACTGACCTGAAGGCATGATGTACGAGTCCAAAGACTCTGAAGGATTTTCTGATTTTGAGAGCTCTGGTAAATTGTGGTCTTTGGATTGGATAGAACGAAGTGATACATCCAAAGAATCAAACAAAAGTTTGGCAGTTGTGAGCGTGGGGTAGTACATCTGTAAAAACCCTGGTAGATCCAAGACCTGAAACAAATACATTTATAAAATTAAAATCATAGCTGGTTGAAATAAATATATGCAAGTACCAGCTGATCGAAGAATATGATTAGTTTGCTTATTGTTTAAGATAGGGGATAAATTTTCGCCTGTTATAATCGGGGATAATATTGTTTGCTCGTATATCTTGTCCGGATTTACACAACGAAGATTTTGTGATTTTGTCTAAGGTAACGATCATGACAAACAACCAAGCGACTCAGGGGGACGTATATGCGCCAGATTTTACGCAGTGACTGGAATGGAAACAAGAGGGAACTGGCTGTAAAGTTGCCTATCCATTAAAGAGATATCTGGAGGCTAATGTTGCAAGAAATGATGCAATATTCTTTCAAAATCAGAGACCATAGTGAAGGCTGCGAAGTGAACTGTCCTTCTGTAACCAGATAGTTGTCCACCGAGTTCAACAGTGAGTTCGACGATAATACTGACACTGGCTTTGATCAACAAAAAGTAAATAGTTCTGATGTTACAGGTGCAGGATAAACGGTGATAACTCCAAATACAACTGAGATACCATGTTTAACAGCTTTACTAGCTTCATCTCCCAACCACTACTCCAAAACAAAAACTTCGTTAAGAAAACTTATTGAAAAAAAATCAATGGGGATTAACTGTAAACCAAAAATGACTCGGTTATGTATTAATTTAGTGACTATTAATTACGGAGGCTTATTAATTAAGTAATTACTAATGGATGCAAAATCATAGTGAAATAACCCCTACAAGAAAAATGTATCTAGTCTAATAGCTAAATGCAATCGAAGCCTAGTGAACAGAATCTATGATTTCTTTCCTTGTGTTGTATTTGGAGATAGAGTATCCTTCAACAGACGAGTTATTAGAATTCAGTCTTGCTTTGGTTACCGTCACGTTATATCACAGCACCGAATGTTGCCTATCAAAAACTACTCATAAAAAGACATTACACTGCAATCTGATGTGTTGGTATGGTTTTTGAAGCCAATAGGTAAGAATAAAAATATCAGACCATAATTTCTTCCAAAGACCACTAATATTTTGAGCTTAGGGTGACTGTGTACATTTATATATAGAAAGTTATACAAACGAGGTAGTGAATACAGAACAGTTAGTGTCCCCAGTCACTGCCTACCTGACGCGAGATAGAGAATGGTAAAATCATTAGGAAAATTTACTGCAGAAAATAAAACAAAATATGGTACTAAATTATGAAGTTCTCGATCTGATTAGCACTATAAACCGAAGCAATCTCATTGGTTGGAGCTTACAACATATAAGAAATTGGGTGCAGACCTATGATAAACTGACTATATAGCTCTTGATTTATAGACAAATTTACTTTTAAGCCCATCAAATAGTATGCAATAATTCGTATACCCGACAGCGGATTATAACTCATGACACTGGTGAAGGGTATTTTTTCAGTATTAAAGTGCAATACCGAATGGATTTTTGACAAGTATGTTATTAACTCCAAAAGTTCGAACCACGTATCTGGAGTAACTGACTTCACTCAAAACTGAAACATCCGCTTTGACGTCTGAATAAAGAATAATACGCAGACCATAGGAAGAATGTCGAATCCCAAGGTTCAGAAAGGAGCTAAACAAGTGAGCTTCAGATGTTTATGTTTTACTAGGAAAAGCTGAAATCACACGAAGCGATAACTTATGATACGGCTCGAAACAAGATCTCAGGACTAAATTCATTATTTTGTTGACAAATCTGTAGACTCATTATGACACCAAGGATGCCGAAGTCAACGGCTTAAAACCCTTAGATCTAATTTCTATAACTTTCGTCTATAATGAACTGATCAAATTTCTAAACAAAGGAGGAGGTGGTGTTTGAACCACAAACTAGCATTACTTATGAGTTGGTACTATTACAGTTTGGGAGAGCATCTAATAATTAGGCGTGAAACTAGAAATGCATTTTTCTCTATGATATGACTATCCCTAAAAACATGATGTGACTAAATTTGCCTCGTGACTGCCCAAGACAATTGTAAAAAGATGGTATAATAACTTACAGTTAATTTACACGATATGGTGTTTATTTCAGATGAATAAGTGTGGACACGACTTTCGTTATCTGTTACGAAAACTAGTGAAACATGACCTTTCAAGTGATGTATGTACCAGTTAGCAGCAACCCAATTCATCCTGTCAAAAAGTTTAACACAAATCACCCTAACCTCGTAGTGTAATCTTTAAGGCTCTCGTCTGCAAAAGGAGGACGAAAACAGGAGCGATTAAACTCATTATCGAATAAAATGCATGTTTGGCTGGCATCTTCAAGGCTTGAACGGATTCTTTTGTATGGGCGTTTTGTCGAGGCCTGTTGCTGAACCTGAGAACATTAAATCACTAAGGTATAACACCATACGAAATTCACTGACGACAGTGAAACAATAACACCTTTTATGTCTTCAAGCTCAAACAGTTCCCAGTAGTTTAGAGCATAAAATCCATCAATTAAAACGTATGTTTTTAAGTCTTTTGGTAAGCAATATCCACCTGAAATTATTAAATATAGCTTCAAACTACCTTGATGGCACTCGATCTGAGAGCATGACAAACTTCTACATGGTATGTCATCCCGAAGATAGACTTCTCTTGTCAAACAAACCTCTTTACCCCTAGGAGTCCTGTATTTGATAGTCTTTTCTGATTTATCGCGCAAGACTGCATATCCACCAACCATCCTTGTGAAATATCTACACAAGACAATTAAGCCAGAGACTTAAGGAGCGTGCATAAATAATCCAATTCACCGCGTACAGGAAGGTCAAACGGGTCAACGGGTTTATAGTAACCGAATAAACTACTGAAACGACCGGATCGCTGATTATCAGAAACATTTGCGCTCTATGCAGTTGGACGGAATTACATATTTATACTATCCATTCTGAACCTGAAGTACAATACAGTGTGATCACTGTTTTCCAGGAGTCGTAGGAACTGATTGTCAACTTCAATTTTCCTTAGCAGAATCCGTGAACTGTTTGTTTCCCGAAATCTGCGGGTTTTCTGGGTAGCTAGAGTCGCTTTTGTCAAGTTCCTTCTAGAAACTAAAGGGTTAAAAATCTGGTTGATGATAGAGGGGATTAGGGAGTTACACTGAGAGTAATTCCTCGTACTCCCTGAAGAGCCAAAGTTGTGGTCAAGACTTCTTTCGAAATATTCCACAGAGGGTACCATCAACGAAGCCGTCAATAAGGAGTTTTACAAGTTACCAGTTCGACCCACGAAAATGTTTGTTTGGATTTTTGTGTGAGTACTTAATGTTCTACCTTAAGTAAACGTCCTCTGCGGAGATGGTAAAATGGACTTAATATGTGGATAATTTTTGTTCTTATTCACACATGTGACAACTATAGCTGATTTCTGAAATCGCTCTTATTGACTACAAGCTTGCTGCCTAAACCTAACCCTCAATTTCCCGTTAACTTTTTGTTCTTTACTTGTATGACACTAATTATCTCTTACAAATACACCGCTGCCCATACACTTCTCGTTCTCACTTATCCAGTTGTTACGCAGAGAGTTGTAAACGATGTGCCCAAAAATGTCTGAAGAAGCTTTCATTTGGCTATACAAATAATGTTCAATATTTTTATGTGTATTTGTGACTTTGTATATCAGTAATTGTCTCCACAATGTTTACAACAACTTTATCACTATTTTCTTACCAACATTTCTAGTCGGATACACTTTTTAAATGTGACTTACTTTTTGTCAGTGGCCTCAATTCAAGACAACTATGAACAATGTAGAATATCATGATCACATCTAAAAACCACACAGGTTTTCAAGATCTGACCATGCTTTAATCTGTAACTCCCTTAATATCGCAAAATAGCAATCCATTCAAATCAAAAGTCAGGAATGAAGTTGAAAAATTTACTTGGAATGTTATCAGTTTGTCGAGAAACGCTGAATTTAAGCAGACCAGTAGTTGCAAGGGGTGCATGGAATGATGACCAGAGTGTGACCTGGTATGGATCCGTGACAGGATACCTCGGTTATGTATGTTCGGCAAAACTGAAATCGGCATCGATGTTGAAGATGTGCTCACCCATTCATTTTTTGGACTTATTTACAGTTACGGCCTAATGCCTTCAAGTGGGGCAGTAGTAACCCTGTGGAGTACCCAGTCATAAGTTTAACCGAGCGCGTTGTTAGCAAACAATATGTCCAGTAGCATCTGGTCATCTTTCTATAATGTAAACAGCCATGTAATACAACACACTAATCGCAAAATGTACGACGGAAAGTTCGGTCGATCGTGTCCGTCGTCGGCGTTCAGCTTGTCTAGTTTTCCTAGAAAAGACAACTAAAAATGTAATTGCATGTCGAAATACGCTTATACTTGCGTAAGGACAAAAAAGGTTCCGAAATCTTGGTATATATATGTATATATACCATGCGGCAGTAAAAAGAACTTGGCACAAAAAGGTTTGCATCAAAGAAAATTATAAATATATGTAATGATGTTTAAAAAAGCAACTTTTTGGCATTTAATGTTTTCTTTGCAACAAAAAAGAACTTAAAATGTAGCCAAATTGCTGTAGGACACAGGAAAGGAGGCAAACAATAAAGCCTACAAAATCCCCTACATGTAGCAGTCGTTCAAGTGTTCTGAAAACATTGCAGTTCTTCCATACCACGTCGTTTTATTGATATAATCACTTTGTTTTGTGCATTAACTTACGAAGTTTAAAGGCAATCATTACGACCGTAATGACCTTTATATTTAAATACAAAGATGGGTAGTCAAGCGTTCCCTCCACTGAAATCGCCTGGGTTCGAAGATCCATCACCCATTCCGGCAGAACGTATCTCTATACTTTTTTCTCATCTCTGAAAAACTTGGAACCAGATAACATAATACAAGAGTGCGTGTTCCGTGTACAGAAGTACTGCCTCCTCACACACGAAAAACATGGTCCTTTTAGGTGCTGAATAACACACCTAACCAACAAATCACAAGCATCCATAATATGCCTAACAGCAAAAAAATATTAAACGTTTCGATTATTAGCGATACTTATGGCCGACAGGGCATGTACTCTTGTAGGGTGAAAAACAACCCTGTTCTCAAGTGGCGCTGGGAAATATGACGACCCTCCTATAATATGCATATTAACATCAACCAACCAAAGGATTAGTTTATAAGACTTTGATTATGTGTCTGACCCTGTGAAGAATGTTCAATTCTAGGACCCAACTTTGAGCTTCTTCATTGTCGTATAATTTCATGTTTTGATCATTTTGAATAGCGTACATTTTTGAAGGTTAAAAAGGGTGGCTACCACTGACTTAAGTTAGTTTATTTATCATAGCTAAATGGTAAGTCCAACTTCTTAAGTTGCTTTCCTTTCTAATGCATTTTCGTTTTCAAGATGTCTACACTATGTCTATTCCTATCCATATTACCAGTATGCTCTGCTGAACCAAGTATATATGCGGAACCAAATATTTATTGATTATGATAATGTATTTTCCTTTTGCATTCAATCGTTTTATCGTAGTAGTCGAACAATCCATCATGCATTTATTTAAAAAATTAGATTCTTCATTACCTTTAACACTAAGATAACTCAAGAGGCCGGAAGGTAAACACCTTAAGCCGTACATGTCATGGGAAAATTGTACCTCATCGACATGCTGTTAAATAGTCCACTCATAGCATTTTCTCAGATATCCGTGTATAAGTTTCTCACAAGCCATTCTATTATCACTTCCCATTCTTCTGTAGAGGACACGTACAAAAATTAATGTATGACAGTTTAGAGAAAGAAAGTGCTACCGGAATCAAATAACATACTACTGTACCATAAGAAATATATACACTAACTATGAATGATAAACAAGCGCTGGTCATCATCGGTTGTAGACGTGAAAATGTCTTTTAAGCGTACCGCCTAGACCGAATTACTGCCCACCATGGATAACTTAATAAGTCAAGAAACTTCTTAGACGTAGGAAAAAGTATTAGGATATGTTCATCTCTACTGGCTTAGAACAGTACAGTTCCAGTTATTGTAAGACTAGGAATGCTTGTAAAGCGTTAATAAGAGTAGACAGTCGTATGAAAAACAATTGATTAGGGATTTTGAAAACAGCCCGACACGGTTGTTCTCGTATAAGAAAAGGCGGACTCAGAGAAGTGATGGAATTCCACCACAAGAAAATCCGTTAATACTGGCAAGAAATGATACCGAAAAAACTGAAGACTTGTCAGAATATTTCAGTAAAGTGTTTTCTATCAGCAATGAGGAACGACCAACGATTAATTGTGATTATGGTGGCTTGGTGATAGACCCTGTAGTTATTGAGAAAGGTGCCATCTTAAGAATACTTCAGCATCCAAAACCTGATAAGTCCAGTGGTCCTGATGATATCAATCCTAGGATTACGAAAGCTCTATCATATGTAATTGTTAAACCTTTAAAGATACTGTTTAATATCTTTCTGAGGCAGTCATGGCTACATATTAGTGACTAATCCTTATGGCTCTTATCATCATATCCCTATTCACTCTTATGCTTTCAGTTCTGTTTTCTTACACATAGTCAGTTAATTAACTTACTATTTTTGGAACAATCACCTTCTTTTAGCACAGGAATTGTCACCTGAGTACTCATATAATGCAGAAAACCAACCTCTATGATTCACAATGTATTTAGAAAAACGCCCATTCCCAAACAACAAGATACACAAATATCTGCAGCAGCCCTGACTGCCCAGAGACTGGGAAGACACGATAATAAGTCCGGTGTATGAGACTGAGAGCAGAGACTTGGTTAGTCACTACAGACCCGTTAGTCTATCCAGTGCAGTTGTAAGACTAATGGGAACGAGTATTCGGATGGCTGTTATAAAATATGTGGAAGGGCATAATCTTTTATACAGAGAACAACATGGTTTCCGGAGAGGCCTATCATGTTTGACAAATATTCTCATTTCAAGAGAAGATCGGGCTTCGGCAAAAGATCGGAATATTCCTGTAGATGTGATTTTCAAAGATCTAAGTAAGGCCTTTGATAAGGTCCCGCATTCGGGTCTTAAATCCAAACTGGAAAGTTTCGAATCCATTGTAAGGTCATAGACTGGATAAGTGACTTTCTCCATGGCAGGATTCAAAGGGTAAGGATTAAAAGAGCTCTCTCCTCGTGGGGACTTCTGAAAAGTGGAGTTACCCAAGGTTCAATCCTCCGTCCTCTTCTTTTTTACTTTTCGTAGATCAGTTGACAACTGCAGCAGTCATCCGTTCTACTGTTTTCCAATGACACAAAGATATGGAGTCCCATACACAGTATGTCAGACAGGATGATCTTAGCTCATTAGTAGCATGGATGGTCAGGTGGTCACCAGGAGTAAATCCTGACAAGAGTGTGGAGATGCAATTAAATAACTATGATGAATCACACCACTATACAATATGTGGATTCGTGCTACCCAAAGTAAGAAACTATAAAGATTTGAGAGTCGTACTAAGCAGTGATCTCAAAACCACCAGTCACTGCAAGGCTGTTGCTGCAAAAGGCTAAAAGGTATTAAGGTTTACTCGTAGATCTTTTCAGTATTTAGATGACGAACTGTTTAGATTATTATACCCGACTTCCGTGCGACCACATTTGGAACATAGGATTCAAGTAACGATTCCTTGTTTCAAGTATGAAGCAGATGTGCTGGAACGAGGGATTAAGATGGCACGATGTCTATCTGGAACATCTTATGAAAACAGACTGAGGCACCTCAACTTATTTCAGCTATCTTACCGCAGAATGCGGGATGACCTTGTGGAGATAGGTCTGACAAGCTTATTTTGTAAATAGTTTTTAATATCATTTGTATTTATTTTGTCAATTTCTCACTGCATATACATTTGTCATTAAATGATTGTACCTGTTGTTTAAGTAAATGACCTTGAAGACTTTTTCCGTTGTGATACTAAATAGCGTGACATATCGTTGCTGGTTAACAAATACACTGCTTCTCTCACATTCCCCGTTCTGTTTTCATTCGAGATTGGGTTAACTGAGATCTAAAACAAATATTATTTACATTCATAGACTGTGAGAGCGAATACACCATATCTTACTTTGGATTACACCACTGGGGAGTTCATCGATACGTTTGGAATTACCAAGCATCTATAATTGTGGATTTATTGTACCAGATTAAAGCCGAACACGCATCATTTTGGGTGAACTTAAGTAAAGTCCCATTTTTGTTGTATTTGTAACATTTAACTGATATATATTAATATTACTATTGATTTTTATTAACTTTGTTGATACTTTTTGTGTTTATATATCGTCTGGTCCACCACAATCTGATATTGGCTTATCGTGTACTAAACGATGACCTTGGTATTAATATGTCTTATCTTTTCCTTCCGTCTAGGACTGATCGTTTGCGAGGACATTCAGAGAAAGTTCAAAAACCGAGATCAAATCGTCTACATCTAGAGTTTCGTTTCTCGTACCGAGTAGTGAATTACTGGAATTCTCTACCAGAACAAGTAACATCATCACCTACTAATTATATATATTCAAAACGAGATCGGACCTCCACAGTGTTACAAACAGCAAGCATTAATATAGGTTGATAAATATATTCTTACCGTTGAAGAGAAAATAAATATCAAGCTGACTAGAATTAATAAAGTCGAGTGGCTTAACTACCGTCCGTCGCACACTCTAAATTACCTATAACAATACCGGAAGTACAATAGGCAAGAGCGAAGAAATAAGTTGGTTTATGTACGTCCTTAAAAAAGACGCGGGAAGACACTTCCAGATATGACAGAAAAAGCTCCTCGTTACTCTTGAACTTATCCCCCATAAAGCTGATGACTCCACTTAAATAAATTCATTTGAGACGATGAATTAAAAGCTTTTGGTAATTTAGACACGTAAAATTCGACAGGACTCGATGGACTACACATCAAAACTTTGAGATATTGCACAATATATTGCAGCTCCACTGTCTGTGATATTCAACATGTCACTTAACCAAGGTTAGTCACCTATGGACTGGGAGGATGCATTTGTCGCGCCCATAAATAAAACAAGACCAAGACAACTTCCATCGAACTACAGACCTATCAGCCTCACCAGTGTCGTAGTTAAAATACTGTAAAAAGTAGTCAAACAGACCATTATGACATTTGTGGAGACTAACAACTTGTTAAACAGTGAATAACGTCGCTTCAGAAAAAGTTTATCTTGAACAACAAATCTCCTTGTATCAAAGAAGCGATGGATAAGGGCTGTAGACAATGGAAAATCAGCAGATGATGTCTACATAGACTTCAGCAAAGTATTGGATGTGGTGCTAATACAGATTACTTTTGAAGCTGGAAAATCTATGTATTGCCGGACCTCTCTTAAAATGGCCTAAATATTTACTGGTAGATTGTGAACATAAACTAGGAGTAAATTCCAAGCGCTCCACCTGGAAACCAGTACTCAGTGGAGTACTACAAGGTTCTGTTTTAGATACTTTACTTTTTCTACTTTATGTAAATGATCTCCCAAATATAGTTGAGTCATTGATGTTAGTATACTCTAATGATGTAGAAATCTGGCAGGAAATAACGAGAGACGCAGATGCATGTGCTTTTCAGGAAGGCCTAAATATTGTGATCAGCTGATATAAGGAGTGGCTGATGCCTATCGAAGCGGCAAAGTGTGTCTACATGCACTTTGGCGGTACAGAGATAAATAGGTATAGCATTGGAGAAGTGCCTGTGCCCATGTTCCGGCCTCACAAGGACCTTGAGGCGACAGTGAGCCATAATCTTAAGACCACCCGTCAATGCCGGGAGGTCGCAGCTAAGGGGTTTAGAACCCTATGGGCTTTAAGACAGACATTCACCAAGTAAGACACTACCATGTTCAATACAATATACACAACCTCAGTGAAAACTAAGCGTGGGAACCGCGTTCAGACTGCGAATCCCTGCATGAAAGCTGACTCATGTATCCTGGAAAATGTACAAACGGCAACTACCTGTGTAATTTCAGAACTCCTGGATTTAACATACAAGGTCGTTTGAAAACTAAACGTCCCTAATCTATCCTACCGCAGATTGAGTTGATCTGATTTGGACGTATGGGATACTAAGAAACGATTTCGGGTCTAACATATCCTCTCTTTTTTCCACTAGATCAGGACATCACAGGGAACATATCAGACGAGTAGAAAACCCATGGACGAACAAAATACCCATGGCATAGAGGTTTTCGCAACGATTATCACCAATTCTGGCAATTTATTACATAAAATAGTGCTGTCCTCACCTTCAATTCACTCATTAAAAAGAGATGACTAGACACTCACGAAGGCCCACTAGCAATTTAATAACATAGGCAGTAGTCTTTCTGTCCTTACCAAACAAATCTGTGTGTGAATTTGAATCTGACCTTGAAAAAGTCCGCTGGCCTAGCGGGTTAAACGACTAATATTAGCATCACGATCGCTCAACACACTACCTACTTCTAGTTTCTATCCCAAGATTATAGTGATTTTGGGCTTGTGTTACTTCTAATTGTTGTTGATTGCTTTCCTTGATGCAAGTAAGTCCAACTCATACCCCTACTAGGTCGTTCATTTGCTTTTTCTTTTCCAGCCTTCGTCACTTTCGCTACTTTGCATGCTCCATTAGTACACGTAGCACCTTCTGGCTAAATACGTACCGCTACGTCAATGGCAAGAACTTCTAGGTATCGCTATGGTAATTATGAAGTATAGGATATCGTCGACTAAAAAATGTATTAGTAAGTTTTTGGTTTCAAAACGCGCATACGTAGTTGTAGAGTAACTCATTCACAAGTAACTATAAGCTTTTATGAATATTAGACAGCTGCAGGTCAAACTAAGACACATTCTTTAAAAAGCTACACAGTTCTTTTAAAGTTCGTCCATGTCTTGTTAATTTGTTAGTGCAGACGATGGCTGATGTTCCTGTAAGAAAATAAGCTATATGGTCTCGGTATATCTTACTGTATTTCAAGGTGTTACTCGTCAGTCACTCCTCACATTGGTTGATGTTTTAGCTATCTAGATTCATAGGTTAGTTAAAATCATCACTCTGTTAATATCCAGACAAGGATTTCAAGGAACAAACTATTCACATCCTCTGACTAGCAGTTCCCAATCTGTCTATGAATAAGACCTTCATTGGTTCCAGCAAAATCATGTTCACCAGACCCATCATAGTTATATAACATCAGTACCGTGGAGAGTTTACTTCTACTGATGTAGTTGGATGTAGATAAGCATTGCAACGCAGTAGCTGCCCAAAGTTTTTGTGCGTTATGGTTACTTCACTAAGTATTCAAATGCTTTGACGAAGATATGTTTCGAATTCTATATACCACCTACGTAAGACGACACTTAGAGTACTGTATTCCAGTAGTTGGTTCATGTCTTATTAAGGATATTGGGCATGTTCAGGGTGTGGGAAGTCAATTAATGATTATATGTTAACCCCCTTACGATGGGCACTTAAAATGCCAAGCCTTTCCTCCTTATCGTATTGTAGGACGCGAGATGACATTATTTTGTTATTCTGTAACTTTGATTACGATTTGGGTGTTAATATCTCATCTTTTTACTCCCTCTAGCACTAATAATCTTCGAGACCATAGTAAAAAAGTTCAAAAACCCCGATCTAATAAACTCAGAGTGGGGTTCATTTTTTCCCAAAGAGTGGTCAATGACCGGAATGTTTTACCCAAACAAGTATCAGCCCTATGTGTGAACATTTTCAAGGAGGAACTGGGCCTTCACGAGAAAATCTGTATGGATTAACACAGGTCCACCGACCTACCATTCTCATTACTGAAGAATGAAGATAGATGGACTCAGTTCAGTCCAAGCTGTCTGGCCTGAAAAATCCTCAATACATCCTAGTACCATTTGCCTCGTACTCAAATAGATTAACACAATGCGTAAGATCAGTCCACAAAGTTACTGACTGCTGAATTCGGTTAGATTTCGAACGATAGTCGTAAACAATGGTTAGAGTCTGTAGGTAGCATTGTTCAGAATCGACCTCTGGCCCAGATTCATCCCCTTTGTATTTTGAAATATTCCCATACTTTTTATTTCACGAGTTTATTATGTACTCATTATCTACACCCAGTATTTTCTCCCATCAATACTGTTACTATTACCACTACACTGGCTTTGTGTTGATAATTTCACCTCTGTGCTGATATAGTTTGGTAAGTTGAACCAGTACGCATGTTCCGGTTTTTACGTTGCTTATGTCTGACCGAGGTGATCTAAATAGTTTCTCCCCATCATCACGATATTAGAATATCGCGATGCAATACTGAAGAAATACTATAGAGTTTAGAAAGTGTCTGAATATATAAACAGAGCTCCAAGCGCGGATTAGTGATATCATGTGGTTTCGACAATAATATTTCCTTAGGACAAACCCATTTCCCCTCGAAATAAGCCGAAATTCAACTACCTACTGATACCACTACGGTTGCTACAGTTAATTGGTTTAGCTAAATACCTCCTTGTGATATGTCTTGAACCGTTTTCTAGATTACTTCTTTAGCACAAGATGACTGGTTCCTGCCAACTTGTAACAAAAATATCGGATACCGAATTAAATATTTTTAAACAAATTAATAGTACCTAATCCCCTTGTATTATTTTATGTGGGTGGATTTGTAAACTTCTTTACTAAACCTGTGGATAATTTGCATCGAGGTTTCTATGATGCGCTTTTCCTACGCAGACACCAACTAATGAAAAACGACTACGATAATAATCTGTCCTTAGCAACTGGAGGTTTCGATCATACTATCCGAATGTGGCAACCGAGCACTGGAAAATATATCCAAGGTTTTCAGCACAATGAATCACAGGTCAGTTACTTAAATGTATTCGAAACCTAAATCTCTAGGTAAACGCTCTTGAATTTTCCCGCGACGGACAGTATCTAGCAGCTGGTGGTTATGGTCGAGTTCGTATCTATGATGTTCAGGGTCCCGCAACACCCTTCGTTATGGTTTCAGATTTCACGAAAAATGTAAACACAGTTGGCTTTAATGATACAGGGAACTGGATGTTTGCAGGAGCTGAAGATCGTGTAGCAAAGATTATAGATTGGCGAGCCGGTGGAAATCTGTGGATAACACGTATTTACCAGGTAATCGTAAGTTATCTAGTTGTAAAACTATTTATTAAAACGCACAGAGGTTGGCGGTTAGGGACGTGAGCAGTCGTTATTGTGACTTTGAGAAGCAGACTTAACACTACATTTAAAACAAAGCACTTTCCTAGTTCAATGGTTATCCTATAATTTTATCCTTCTTTCGTGTCCGTGTTTAGTTTGATTGTCTTCCAACTGTTGTTCAGTTTCACCTCTTATATTGTCGTTGAGTGTAACAACCTGGATCGACTCAATTTTGCGCAAGTTTCGACTTTGAGTTGTATTGATTTTTTCTTCGAGTATTGATTCAGTGGTTCAAAAAATACTGGATAGTAATGGAATACTAAAGCTTTGAAGTGATTATTATCATCATTCGCTTTATTATACTAACCTGTGAACGTGAAACTTGGCTAAACAAATAGGCGTAAGTACATACTAGTCTTCACAGATTAAAATTTTATAAACAGGTTGACTCACATTACTTTTAATTTTTTCACTTTTGTTATCCCATAATGCATACTTATTAACTTCAACTTATAGCTTAGTAACTAATTGATTTAATCATTATCCTGGTCTGTTGGAACAGCCATTTCGTACTCTTTTCTCAGTGTTTCTGTTTCTTACATAAGGTTGTAATAAAAAATAAAGAATACACAATTTAGATAGACAATCAGTGGTCTATGATTAAGTGCCACGGTTATGAAGTTCATAAGCCGTGGATAGCTACAGAACACTTTTAGTTTCTTATTAGATATTTGTATACGTCTCCTAATTCACCATAGGGATTATCCAAATAGTTTTTATGTAGACGTGCATTGGCCGTTTGTGTGAACTTGATAAATGTAATTCCATCCTCAGGTCTTACAATAATTTGACTTCAAAGTTGTTATACTTAAAGTTGTTCAACCCTCACATATCGCTCTTTGTTTCTCAGTACTCTAATATTTGACGGACAATTGTGATTGTGTAACCTCAGATATTATTACTATCGGTATTACTTTATTAGATAATGGGAGTATTCTAAGTCATGTTAGCAGTATTCAAAACCAGAACATCATCTGTTCTTTTTTGTTCTTACGTAGACGTCCTCGAGCATTAATACAATGTTGCTTCATCGCAATCAACATGAAATTCTCATCGGAACAAGTAAAGGAGAAGTTATAGTTTGGGACCTTCGCAACAATGCGGCTAATTCTATATGCATTGATGGCCAAATTGAACCCATTCATAGTTTATCTATTGACCAAGAAGTAACTTCATTAGCTGCAGTTAACTCTGCTGGTCAACTTATTGTTTGGTCTTTAACAGGTGATTCTGCTTGGAAACCTATCGAAAAAGTACGTTCGCACTTTATGTATACGCAGTTTAATATGTATCTCTACTTTTGGGTTTCAAATCAATGCTATTTCTTAATTGAGTATTATCAGAAATAAAGATAATTACAGTGATCTGGTACATTAAGGTTACTAGTCCAGTTATACTATTAATGATCGATGCAGAGTAACCGTCTCTCTTACTTTACTAGAGATCGGGTGTTTTTTTATACCTTTTACTGATGTCCACAGATATATCCATGTCTTACGTTAGATAAATTTTCATATATTGTATGGAGAAAAAACATTTCAGTGCATTTTAAAATGTGTAGAGCTATGTGACATGCACAAAGTCAAGTCAACTGTTTGGCATTTTACACAAATGCTATTGCTCCTATTTGCGTCCTAACCATCTGACTAGCTGCGCCTAAGCGCTCTGAGACAGCCCACCAACTTTGGAAAATCATTCGGAATATAGTAGTTGGAAGATGCTTTGAGAGTCTTACTTTACTTTTACGGTTATCATGAGGAGCGGGTAGAACAGGTACAGCTAATTCATTCAGTCGTCAAAACACCAACCGCAGCTGTTAGCTTCGTGTGCGGGTTGGGCTTGCCTATTTTGATGGCTCAACTGAGCTATATTGATTGGAACACATGCTCCTTTATGTCTTACTATACCAACAAGAACGGTAAGACTAAATACAGCAACTTAAGGTCCGAGGGCGAATTATTACTGCTGACTTTAGGGGTGTGACTAGCAGTAAGGTGTTCACTCTAGACAACCAGCATCTGTAGCGATACTATCTCACAACGGCAGGAAGGGGTTAAGAAAGGTTGACCCTAAAGATGTCACACCTCACCTTACACCATGGACTTCCGACTTCGGTGTTAATGTTTCTTGAAGTGTGGAGCTAATGAATCAGAAACGTCTCATAAAAAGGCCATGCGCAACCAGCCTCATGCACTTGTCTCTTTAGCTCTGCAGTCTTGCTCTCGAGTCGCTAAGACCACCACCACTTCATTTTCCTTCTCAGGTCCCTCAAAATATTTACTGTGTGGGAAACCGGGAAGTGACAACCGCCCTTATAATTTTAATCGCACCCGAGATCGTCTTGTTGACAATCGAGTCTATCACTCACCGTGTACTAATTCTCCCATCCCCACAGCTGCCTTCGATTCGTTGGATAGGACTGTTCTCTGGGATTGTCTATTGAAGAAGGGTGTGCCTGAGAAGTTTATTAACATCCTAAAAGCCCTGTATAAAAACACCTCAGGCAGAGTGAGGGCATACAACCACCTCTCTCCATTGTTCCATTCGAGCAGTGGGGTTAGGCAGGGTTGCCCAATCTCACCATTCCTCTTCAACTTTGCCATCGATGACATTGTGGAAACAGCTCTGATGAATGTAAGTAATGGTGGTGTGGATCTGTTGCCTGGAGAAAGACTTCTCGACCTTGAGTATGCGGACGATATTGTCTTACTGTGCGATAATGCCCAAGGCATGCAATCCGCACTTAATCAGTTGGCAATCAATGTCCGTAGGTATGGTATGTGCTTTGCACCTTCGAAGTGCAAAGTACTTCTACAAGACTGGCAGGATCCCAATCCTGTACTCACCCTTGATGGTGAGCAGATAGACGTAGTTGAGAAGTTCGTGTATCTGGGTAGCTGCATAAGTGCTGGTGGGGGTGTGAGTGATGAGATCAATGCACGAATAGTGAAAGCCAGAGCGGCTTATGCCAATCTGGGCCACCTTTGGCGCCTTCGTGATGTTAGTCTGGCTGTAAAAGGCCGGATCTACAACGCGTCGGTGAGAGCAGTTTTGCTCTATGCTTGTGAAACCTGGCCTCTCCGAGTTGAGGACGTTAGACGACTCTCTGTGTTTGATCATCGCTGTCTCCGAAGGATTGCTGACATTCAGTGGCAACACCATGTCAGTAATGCAGAGGTTCGGCATCGTGTGTTCGGGCACAGAGATGATAACTCAATTGGTGTCACCATCTTGAAACACCGACTTCGGTGGCTTGGACATGTTCTCCGAATGTCGTCCCAGAGAATTCCACGTCGTGCATTATTTGCCGACTCTGGGACTGGTTGGAAGAAGCGGAGAGGTGGTCAGTGCATGACATGGTGTCGTGGCATGAAAGAAAGCTGCAAAGGACTGGCTTGTGTTGGTCCTTCACGACTCCCTGGCTGGGGTCCGAGAGATGGTGCAACACAGTGGCTAGAGACGTTATCAGATATGGCTCAGAATAGAAGCCAGTGGCGATCCTGCTGTAACCTTCTTTTACTTTCTTCATAAAAAGTGGTTGTGTCTCCTTTACCTGAAAGATTTCTTCTGATTGTACATCTTCGTCATTACTCTCTTTTTCTTTTGCGTTCCTTAGTTTTTTTTTTTTTTTCTTTCTACTTCTCTTCGAATTCCCATTGTTTTGTGTGGCGCATATATATTGGCGCTCTCTTGTACCAATATTTATGTGTTCAAATAAATAAATAAATAAATAATAAATATAACATCCCCACAACTAAATTCTCCCGTATATCTTTATCACTACGAGCCACTAATGCTAATTACTTGAGTTCACGAAATGTTATTCTTGGTCTCCTGAATCCACGCTCTAAACTGCATGTTGGAGCTTCTAAATTTTGAACTTTAAGTCAGATAGGATAACAGAGTTCTTTAGCCAGTACTCTAGAATATTGCACCATCGATGAATGCTGTGTCTCCGAAACACACATACAGGATCCAATGACAGTCATTCATTTGACCTCACCTTGTCAATATAAAGAATCGGAACGATTTACTCTTCGCGTATCTGTAGGTCCCCACTGGTGTGGTTGTAGTATTATTCAAGAGTAAAACAGCTTCTGTCAGACTGGGTTCAAATAGGCAGTCGTTTGTGCGCTGTCCGACTAAATAAAACAGTAAAAACTCGAAAAGATAGGGATACGCCGTTGCCTCCTAGTTGTATTGGCATACGATCCCACTGATTGCAGCTTGGATGAAGCTAAAGATAATTTGTATAGAAAGCTATCCAAATCCATTTTAAAAGCTAAACGCTCTAATTAATAGCGACAAGTTACTTTAACGCTCAAGTAGGTAGACTAAACCAAATCGTAAGACATTTTGATAGATCTTACAGTGTTGTGGCTCAGCAAATGGACAATGGTGGATGTTTGGTGCAACCATGATCAGATAATTGTCTGTTTCTAGCAAACATCAACTCTAAACATAAGAAAAAACATCGTCTGACGTGGCGACCTCCACAGCGATAGTTTCAAATAAATCACGTTGCCATCAACCATTGTTTGAGTTCCTCATTTAAAGACTCGTTCATTCTGGAGCATATGTTTAGGACTTGGATCATGTTCTAGTTCGAGCACGTATTTGTCTGCACCTAACTGAACGAAAAAAACCCACAGCAAGTAAACCCCTTAGATTAGACCAGAGAACAAGCCAGTCAACCTTAAAAATGATATCCGTCCTGAGGTGGTTTGGCTTGATATCTAAAAAGCTGTGGAAACAACGGTGATATATATTTGTAAATTAGACCAATAGGGTAGATAAAATCATTAGATTTCAGCGGCTCATTACCGCTCAGGAATTCATCCCGTCTGGCTTATTTATTTTAATTGAACACATAATACTGCACCAAATATATATGCGCCACGTAAATGATTCGATTTGTGTGTGTGCTGTGATACTGCTCGGGCGACGAGACCGAAGCAGGTGGTTTCCTTAGGAGGCCACACCTCGAGCCTTTGACTTAAAAGTCTGATCCACAAGACAGTCAAGCAACGTAAGATGTGCAGTCCCATGGTAGCCGGTCACTAACAATAGGTTCATTCTCCACTTGTTCCTTAAGGATACTGGAGCCCATGTGCTCGATTGGTTTGGAATCAGAGTTTTCCAACTCACCTAGGCGGACTCTCCATGTCCATCAACCCGGTTAAAGCACTGAACATTCGCTTTTCGTCCTCCCAATTTCGTAAACAACACCCTCGCCATGAGATGGTAATGAGTAGGACTTCCCTGGGAGTGGCTGTATACGCGTGCCCGTGTGAGAGAATTTTGAGAGGGAGGGTGGACTCTCCCCACCCTCGACCGTACCAGGGCGTTTGTGGGCTCCGAATATGGTGAGGAGGGGAGGCACCTTAAATGTAGGCAGTAGTGAGTAGATGAAAAAGACGACAGCGATAAGTAACAGTGGACAACTTTCCAGACTTATAAAGTAAACGGGTATTACGAATCCGGCTGTTAGTGGAACTATCTCGTAAAAAGATGTGGTTATTCACACTTGGTCCAGGAGGTTGAACTGATAGGCGAAAAACTTTATGGAAGAGTTCAACTGGCCCTCAATCGCAATTCAGTTACCCACTACCTCCAAACAGCTTGAATGGCAAATTGATGTCTGTCCTTCAACTCTGAATAAGGTTGAAAAGGATATACGTAGCCTTAAGTGAGGAAGAGAGGTAGGGCCTGGGGTACTAACCTCTGTGAGTTTTTAGGATAGTGGTCCAGTTTCAGAAGTTAGATTGACTGAGACCTTGGCTAAACTCTGGGAAATGGACGTAATCCCACCCAACTGGTCCCAATCGCTGGTCGCCCTAGTTTTTGAGAAAGAACAGTAATCTTGTAACAATCACTGAGAAGTCAGTTTAACTAATATGGTGTCTAAAATATTGGCCTCAACAATATTTCAACATTTAACCAGATCTCTTGAAGAGCAAACCCGTGGAAACCAGGCTGGTTTCAGATATGGATGTGGATGTATAGACTAAATATCCACCTTTTGACAGGTCATGGAACATAGATACTTTTTAACGTCCAAGTATGGTTGTATGTCTTGACCTTAAGGCGGCGTTCGACGCCGTTTACAGTGAGGTTCTACGGAAGTCTGTCATCGAAAGGAGTACCAAAGAAGCACGTTAACCTTGTACAGGCTCTCTATCCAAACACTATTGGCCGAGTCAGAGCATATGGTGAACTGTCATTGTAAATGTCGTTGCCCACCTACCTCGATGGACAATGTTTTCTGGTGTAGGAGCAGGCTGGAAGAAAGATAGGGGTGACCAAACCATGAAGACACTGATAACTGAACTGTGCCATGTTAATACGTGGTTGGGAACTTTGAATAGCGTGGTTCAAAATCGTTTGCCATGGCGCAGATGCATCCGTCCTCCGTCTTCCTCCAAATTCTGAGATTCTAAACTCAACTATTTTTTGTTTTTATTTTACTAATTTATATTTACTCGAATCGTATCTTCGATGCCTCATCTTTCCTAATAACACTGAAACTGCTACTACCTGTACTATTCTGGGATTTGGCTTGACAATTTTTTTATTTTTCTGTGCTGATGGGGTATGGCAACTTGAACCGAGGTGCATACGTACAAGGTTACACGTTGTGACTGATTGGTTCAGTCAAAAAAGAATCTTCAAGTGCTGATCTTAGAAGACAAAAAATCGGAAGTCTTAAAAAAAACTAAAAACTAAGTCGTTTATGGGCGATATGTTAATTCCTATATATTGTATTGTGATGATAACGAAGTAGCTATATCCATGACAGTGATATTTTATAACAACGCAAACCAAATAACTATATGAACGTTCGTCAATATTTGAACGAATGGTTTGACAGAAATAGGATATATCATTCGTCGAAACTATATTTGAAATAACTGTCGCGACTGAAATCTAAATCAATTAATTTTATTTACTACCTTGAAAAAGTGGAGGCAACAATCACTGGATAAAACGTTGAACTTCAGTCCCTGGGTTCAAATTAAATATTTAAGAAAGGCTAGAAGAAGTCGTTGTCCTACGTTTCATTGATAAATCATTGGGTCATGTCTACCGATCGATTGTGAGGAATTTCGGGAGACGGAACTAAGAGAAATAAAAAGGACAGCGGCAGCATGTGAAACCATTACTGGACTTCTATCTCTTTTCACTAGAGAAAGGAAGGCTGTAAATTAGTTGGCATAAATCTTTCTGACAAGGATGGAACTACAGTACTGGGTGGGGCGTTTTGAAGAAAACACTAATTAACATCCAGTTAGTCTCCAGTAATACACCATCCTATAGTAACTTTAATGGGAGATTGACACAAATCTCGCAATTTTTAGTGACATCAAAAAGATCATATTTAACTTGTGATGAAAAGGAGCAGCAGGACCTGATAAGTTAACTCCAAAAATACTTGAAGATGGTTATTTATTTCAGGTATAGAAAGCCCAATGGTTAGGACCTGAATATAGACGGTGATCTGGTGTTAGGGCCGCTTGGTTTTCAGCATATAGGTAACAGGTTTGAACCTCACTCTACGTACTTCAGTCGCCTCAGATATTCTGATACGACTAAAGGTGAGAAGTTGGCTTTACCCACCATCACAATAAAATATAATCTTTAGCTTAGTTGCTAAATTGATTTGAAGTGTAGATGAGGTATGGTTACATTAACAGTATCCCAAGTAAATAGTAAGTAGATTCACTTATGCCTTCACAAAACGTCTCATTTATTTACGCTGGCTTCTCGATTACTTGTAGCATATCAGTTTACTCTGGTGGATCGTAAGCACGACAAAACGTCAAAGCGTGCTAACGATTTTAAAGCACTAATTACATCTGAAAGCTTTTAGAAGCTGTCTTGACTTATCTTAGCGGACTGGTATTATAAAACACATCTCAATAAAAATCTATAAAGTTGATAGCTCACCAGTTGGGAGTCTTTAAAGATTTCTCAAGTGCGGTAAAACTGATCGATCAAACCTTCGTGTGTCATTGTCTATTCCCACGATGAAGCGGAGGTCCTTAAGCATTACAATTCATCAGGATTAGATAACATTACCCTACTTAACGACAAAATCGAACTTCTAGTCAAAATAACGGGCCGAATAATTCATCTTCCGATACCAGTGTTCATTCATCCTAGGATCAAGGCGATCCCCATATCCATCTTTAAAAATGGGTTACATTAAAGTGTCCGACAATAATTGGAGTACAAGTGTACTTTCAAGTCCCTTTAAAATATTGGCTACCATCATATTCAATAGGTTGTGCGAAACTCATGAAATACAAACTCGCGAGCAGCACAGCGGTCTTAGTTTAGATTGTATTGATCATGTTCTCACTTTTCACCGAATTCTTAGGGACACTTATTATAATGTAATAGTTACTAGGATTCTTTATATCGGCCTCCTTTGATTCGTTAAATAGGATTATGCTCTGAGATCATCTGTTGTAGAAAGATTGGTCAGAAATTTTTGTTAACATACTTTGCGCGTTTTAGTAAAATATCTTAAGGAAAGTTATGACATACAACCACCTGTTTATTGTTTCAAGTCGGCAATAAGGTTAAAAGGACTTATCAATTCTCACCCTAGAATTTCTTTGTCGATTGCAGCCTTATAAGAAAATGATGATGAGCTTTTCTATCTCCAGTTTGGGTATGACACTATCATTATATACATAATCTAGTTCAAATCACATATAATCGGTTAACAATTCATGTGAATAAATAGTTCCAAAATGCGAAGCAATTTCGAAAAACACTGAAGATGGTTTCTACACTCATCTCATGTAAGTGCTGATGGTGGCATAGCAGATGAAGTCATTCTACGCATCATAATTACTCGAGTAGCTTAAGCCACTTACATGATGTCAGTCTATCTGTAGTACATTGGGTTTAAGGCGGCATCACCAAAAGGGATCCTGCTCCTATATCTGTTCGCCAACTTTGTGTTTGATCGTCAGTATATCCAAAGGATTATTTCGATAGCAACACAGTTTGATTGGTGACAATTCGATTGGCAACAATCTTAGGATGCCGGTTTCAGTTGCCTCAACATATCTGTATTTTGATCCCGCTACTTCTCTGTCGCATGTCGACGCTAAGAGTGGAAATGGAGGCAAAAACGTATTTGGCTAACAATATTGTTTGGAATAGTATTATAAACGAGGGCAACTAGCTCGTTCTGATAATGTATGAACTCTTGTTGCTATCCCCTGAAATATCAGAAGTGTTTAGATAGATTTTATTATACTACCAAAGTTCTTTTATTTTTGAGAAAGAACTTTAGCGATATTTCTTGGTTTAAGATTTTTAGTAGTCGCCTTATGTGGTCTTTAATTTCTAGTTAACATCGAGAATATACATCAATAGGCGTTAGACTACAGTACAATACCTTTTCTTGTTATGTTTACTAAAACTTTATGCTAATTTTTTTTCTAACAGCATCGGCAGAAAGTACATCCAACTTATGTTCTGAAAGTGCAATTTTCGCCAGATAGTACATTGATAGCTACTGGGGGAGGTGATGGGAAATTTAATCTTTTAAAGACTGCTGATTTCAGTTTAGTTACAACGCGACAAGGTAGTCCATCAGGTCATCACTGGGTTTGGGATTGCGCATTTTCGGCAGACTCTCGCTTTTTGCTCACTGCGACTTCCGATGGAGTTGCTCGCTTATGGAATTTGGAGACAGGTGAAGTACCCGTTGAATACAAAGGACATCAGAGAGCAATCACTTGTATGGCATTCCGTGATCATTCTTTGAAGTCTATGTAGTCTTTAACTCAATGAAAACTAGATGTATAGTATGAAAACAAATGCTTGATCTTATGGATTTTTACTTTTTTTTTAAAGCTGTTATAAACGTGGTACAGCAGATGTTAATGCTTGCAAAGTGCCGTCGAAAAATTCAATTTATGTGAATTGATAGGTGAATGAACCTTTTACGATTTCAAACGATTTATACTTTTTACAGTAATGCACTTACTCTAGTAAGAATTGTAAAATAAGGACCTTGTTGTGTGAATCCGCATTGTTCCACCTGTGTAAAAGTTATTTAGACCCATGAGTTGTAGTCATTACGCTTTCCGAAGTTTGTTTGTCACGCAGGTTTCTATAGTTGTTGTTTTATAGTTCACAAATAGATTCGTTCTTGGGCCAATATGTTTCATTGAAATTATGAACTAACCAATGGTCTACAGTTTAAGCGTTTGCATACGACACTGAAAGTTCTAGGACCATTTCTGGTTTCTGGTGTGAACACGAAACACTCGTGTTTTTTTGACAATAGGAATTGAAGACTACTTGGTCTGGGTCCGCGCAACCATTGTAACCAGTGGTTGGAGACTCTGTTTGACAGTGCTCAGAATCGATCACAAGGGCGTAGATGCATACACTCTTTGCCTTCCCTTAAACCATGTGATTAAGATTGCTCTATACCTTTTTTTCTATGGACTAATTCCTTATTCCTGTATTATATCCTTATACGCGATCTTGCTTTAAATACATTACTATCATTGAAGTAACTACTTTATGAATTTGGCGTTCATCGCGTTGTGCTAGTGGTGTCGCAAGTTGGACCGATGCATATATGTGCCTGGTCGTACGCTGAAGATGACTGACTTGATAAGCAACAGGTGCACATGCGAATACGTTCAGTACAATTGAGTACGTAGGGACGCCTTTATGTACTTGACTTCGAACTACATACTTAGTTAAGTGTTTTAATTGTTCCCACTGAACTTCCTCATTAAAAACTCCCCTAGAATTAGTCAACAACTTCACAATGTAAGTTATAGAGTGCAATAGTCTGAGCTACGGGACTTTCTACGCCATTTCCATAGGCTGCCATAGTTGTGTTAAGGCTTTCAGCCTTTCTCCGTATCATTGCTAATCCATTATTTTGTCTCATTTATTACACAGCTAGTTAATTTTATTTGACCGTGCTAATGTGTTGTAACAACTTGAACTAAATTACGCTCGTGCTCATATGTATATTGATTATGACTGACCATGAAAATAAACCAAGTTCCCTTTTAAAGAAAGCGGATAATATTGCTGACGAAAGACATGATTATCAGCGGTATCGAACAATCCAAGTCACGCATAAAACAAAAAATATGGATTTATTCTGTCAAAATAAGTTCATCCAAACTCCAGTCTTCAAAACTCCCATCAGGAAGGAAACGTCGAATAATGATAGGTATCTTGTTAGCCCTTAATTCCTTTTCAGCAATTTTTAGAGGATCTCGTTCACCATCCAGTTCAACCATAACGGGAGCAGACATTGATAGTTGCAGAGCTCGTGCACCTAAAACTCTAGCACGCTCATATTTCGTAAGATATGGAGTAGTAATCCGTTTACTTTTTTCTACTGGGGCAGCCATATTTTGACCTGATAAGCGCGGCGCTTCATCAGCTGTTATGTACGTGACACCTTCTAAAAAATAATATGCAAACGCTTAGTGACTGGCCTCTGTAAAATCTCTAGAAATGTATATTATACAACTAATTTTAGTGTGTACTCAATCTGTGCAGACTAGTTTGAAGATATCACATAAACTGTACTACTAAACAAAGAGTCTAATAACCACGAGTACACTGTGTAGGAAGTAATTACGCTATGTAGATGTGAAGTGCAAGCCCGTTACACATTAAAAAGTAATCAGCGTTGCGGAGAAACAGTTTTCCCACAATACTGATAGACTCAGAAAGGCCTACCGATGTTTATATATTTACTTAAACACACACAATGAGGCACCAAATAATTTGCTCAGTTTGTTTGACGGCTGCGATAACGCCCGGGTGCCGAAACCGAAGCAGGTGGTTTCCTTAGGAGGCCACACCTCGAGCCCTTGACCTAAAAGTCTGATCCACAAGACAGTCAAGCAACGTAAGATGTGCAGTCCCATGGTAGCCGGTCACCAATAATAGGTCCATACTCCATTTGTCTCTGGAGCCCATGTGCTCGATTGGTTTGGAATAAGAGTTTTCCAACTCACCTAGGTGGACCCTTCGCGTTCAACAACCTGGTTAAAGTGCCGGACGTATGGCTTAGACATTTTCGAGTTATGAACACCTGTTTTATTACAGGATTGTGCAAGGCTTAATGATAGTTCGAGTAAGATAGGTATTGTTAGACATGTAAATCTTTGAATAAGTGAGCTACATCACCTGTATAGTCCATGGAATTTCCGTGGATTGTTTCTCATCAAAGAAAAAGGCAACGGTATTGAAGACAGAGGGTTATATGTCGAATCTGCAGCACCTCACATTAACGAAGCAAGAAAGGTAAGTAAGCAGGCCATAAGGGAATAGAAATCGAAATTAATAGTGACGAAAATATAGAACTCCGGAAGTCTAAGAAGACAAACAGCATCGGGGAATAAAAGGTTAGGAACGACACTTCGTTAAAGAATTAAAGGAATATTGATGAAGGATATGATTGCAACCGTTATTGTGCGTAAACTAAGAACTTGAACCATTACTACCAAGAAGTTTGTAACTATCGAGACCGATCAACGGGAGTTAATGGCTTCATGGATTGACAGCACTTAATCCATTTGAAAAATTCATATCATAATTTGTATTAGACAAAGTGGTAAACAACTCTAACCAACTGATTAGTTAAATATCAGCACTAACAAATGAGAAGTTTGAAAGATGAGAAAACATGATATCCTTGGGTCGCGTTATGACAAAGTATTTGGGACTTACCAGGTTTTGTGTCTAAATCCTCTTCTGGTACCTCGTCCAGAGGCTCTTCATCTGATTCAAAGTCATCTGCACCGCCATACTCATCACACATTTTACGAATAGTTGATTACCTAGAGAAATGTCAACGGAAAGTACTTGAATTTGTTTATATATGAACTTTTCTACATAACGATTTGGAAACCCATATTTCGGTACTGCCATTGTTCATAGCACGTTTTGGCTGTTACAATAATTATATGGACACAGTCATTTTTTCTTACAATCGTACCATTTGTACTATGAAGTTCAATCATGCTTATAATATGCTGAGTCGTGAAAGTTTGTCATTAATTGTCAAATTAAACCAGATATCGGATGGAAAAACTTCTCAGCGTTGTTATCATTATAGTTACGGCTCACTTTTAAAACGTAATATGTATCAGATCCAAAGAGAGGACTTATTACTTTACAAACAAACAAGGAGATTGTATAGATAGATTAGGATAAGAATATCAAGAGTAGTGGTGATGACTAACTCAAAGGATCTGTATAAAAAATTTTCTAAAAATATTTTTTCCGAGAGAACAGGCCACTTAATGGGAATTTAAATCCTTGTTTTGCACTGTGTATATACAGCCAACCCGCATGAACAAGTCTCAGTTTACGATATGTGACTGGGTGGTGAATATCGATGGTGAGACTTCAATTTACGGACGATCTTTGGTCGACGCTGAAGTTATACAGATACTGTCCACCTGTTGACTCGGATTACATGACAGTTATAAAACAGGGTGAGGAATTAGAATTGTGATTTACAGTTGAAGGTTAGGATTATGAACTAGATTTAAAGTTTTTATCACGAAGTGGCATCATCTAAACTGCCGAAATGACATTCAGCCAGATGGACAAAATACAAGATTTACCTTGTATTTGATTAGTTCGTCTATAAATTTTAGTCTCCCCGAATGAACTATACAAACCTCGAAGTGGCAATGCCACTGACTCCAGGTAACAGTGACGCTAGAACTCGAGTTTAGCGGTGACTTATATATTGCAAGTCACCTAAATGGTTCAAATGGTTGTGGACGGAATAGAAGAAGCTTTCGCTTAACAGGCTTCCGTGTCTAGTAGCAGGGGATCACCAAATCCTCCAGGCAGGAACCTAGGTATGTTAACAATAAAAGAGGAAAAGAAATTGGTAAATCATAGTGTGATGCTGTCCTTGGTCCTTAAGAATAGGTCAAGTTGCTTCTTGAAGGACTCCTGAGAAGTCGCTTGGACTAGCTCGTTCGGCAGCGAATTCCAGCTTTTGACAACTCTTAAGGAGTAGAAGTTGTGTCTACATTCCGTCTTTCTATGTTGTGTTTCCAGTTTCTGGGTGTTACCCCTTAGGTTATTATTCGAACTAAGCTTAAGTAGGTGTTTAAGAGGATGTCCAGAAGTGTTAAGAATACTATAAGCCATTAATAAATCACCTCTAAGACGCCTATATTCTAGTGGGTAAAGGTCTAGTGAACGGAGGCGTTCTTCGTAAGGCTTAGATTTGAGTCCTCGAACTGATTTCGTGGCTCGCCGTTGGATACGCTCCAAAGTGACCTTGTCCTTTTGGAGTGAGGGGGGAGTACTATGTTTCCGTACTCTAAATGGGGACGGATGAAACTATTGAAGATTGTATGGAAAGTTCGTCCGTCAAACTGCCAAAAAATGCGCTTCAACGTTACCAGTGCAAGGTTTGCTCGGAAGGCATTTTTGTCACAGTTAGCGTAAGACTTTAAGTCATGGGGCATCAGGACTCCTAAATCCTTTTCGACTTGGGATACTACTAGAGAGGAGTTTCCTAAGTTGTAACTGTAGTTTGCGACATGTCGCAGACGGACTACTTTACACTTTGAAGTGTTAAAGGTAAGTCCGTTATCGTCTGCCCAACTCTGAAGTCGCGTCAGATCCTCCTGAAGTGCCTGTGTATCGTCTTGGTTGCGTATCTCTCTCCAAAGTTTCACGTCGTCGGCAAAAAGTAGTAAGTCTGACGTTACTTGTTGAGGAAGATCATTTATGTAGATCAAGAAGAGAAGAGGCTCTAGTACTGAGCCCTGGGGGGGACCCCACTAGGACATTCCATAGCCTGAGATAAAGTGAAATTAACCCTAACCTTAAAGTGTCGATTTTTTAGGTATGAAGTAAGCCAATCGATTAGAGGTGGTTTGATACCTAGTCGTTTGAGCTTGTTGATAAGACACAAGTGGTTAACCTTATCAAAATCTTTTGAGAAATCAAGGTAAATGACATCAATTTTTCCCTTGCAATCGAGGATTCTTGTCCATCTGTCCACCGCAGTCAGCAGGTTGGTTGTACAAGAGTAACCCTTCCTGAAACCATGCTGTTGGGGTGAGAAGAAATTTAAGGACAGTAGATAGTCATTTAAACCGTCGCATATCAGGGACTTCATGAGTTTTGAAGGTAATGACAGAGGAGCCACCGGCCGATAACTTGAAGGTTCATTGCGTCGACCACCTTTGAAAATTGGTGTGATGTCAGCCAACTTCCAATTTTCCGGTAATTTGCCTCGGCTAAGTGAGTGTGAAAACATCACGCTAAGCGGCGTTGCCAGGATTGAGGCTGCCTCCCTCAGTATGGCAGGATGAACCATATCCGGGCCAGGAGAAGTGTCAAGTCTTAAGTGCTGCAATTTCCGGAACGCCAAGTCAGCGCTTAGGTCCACTTCAGAAAGTCCTGTGGAATTGCAGATGAAACTGTCGTCAATAAAGTTGATGTCAGCCAGTTGAAATGTTTGAGAGTAATGGGCCGCCAGAAGGTTAGCGGCGTCGC